CATTTCACATAATCAAGCAACGAAACTGGGCGGCTGAGCCCTTATCTAATAGAGTTGAGGACTGAAAACTGTAAATTTCCCAGAAGTAATCCCTTAGATTAAATTTCAATGAATGCTATGATTTAACGCGTGGACTATATTTTCCCAAAGCATAGTTTGGAATATATTCTACAAAATTAAAAATAATATATACAAAAACATTGTCAATTATGATATGTTACAACAAAATTTCGTTAATTTCAATATATGAAAATAATAAATTAAAATAATCTCTTACAACGAAAAACTGTATAGCAAATTAACAGCCAACTACCATAATGATTGACACACGTGAGACAAGTTGAACTATTTCAAAAACTCCCAATCATTTCAAGCTTCAATCACCATGAAATTTGATGCAGAGAGAGTAGCAAAAACTTTTGGCCTAGATATGATATGTATAACAAAGATGATTTCTAACGACAACACAAACGTGCAATTTACGGAAGAAAATGCCCCCCACGAATAACACGACCTCAAAGGACATGTTATGGCAAAATTATATATATAATGAAAACAGAAGTCAGCTCGTAAAATTTAATGGCAAAACGAGTTACGAAAGCTAAACAAGATATGCGCGTGTGCGGTCACAGAAAGAGTTGAAAAATTGAAGTGATCTTACGATATACAATGGCTCTTATGTTTTGGTCAAAAGTTCATCATGGACGTTTGCATGTCATGATGTTTTGTAAGACATGCATGCATGTTCTAGATTCTTTTTCCTCTACGCAAATCAATCTCTTTTTGTGACACTGGGACCGATAACTTATACGTACTTTTAGACTTGTCAAAAATCAATCTCTAATTCTACCTTGATTATTTCGTTAATCAATGAAATGTCTTCTATCAATTACACCTTAACAAAATTGAATTTGATCTCCTAATAGTAGATTAATTTCATTGAGTCAGTGTTTCAACTCTTGTTGATAAAGCTTCTTTTCTGTTCTGTTCTGTATTTCTTTTTCCAACTCCGAATCTACTAAGAAGTAACAGGTAGGCGTAAGATTTAGCTGTTAGTAGATATTCAGCCTTAACAAAAATATGTATTACGTTTTATGTCAAACTGATATCCAGTAGCTTGACCTTGTATCTACCAAAATATATTTAATTATGAGTAAAGAGTCAAAACCCTTCTGTCATATTATGCTTTGCATTTATAAGGAGGAACAATTAATATAATATCATTTTGGAATTAAATGTCAATTATTCATCTCAATGTGACATCTCTTATCATTCTGGTTGTGTAATTTTATTTTATTTTTTCTAGGATTGTTGATTTGTTGTATCAAGTTGATGATTGACCTAAAGAATAAAAAAATTTAATGCTAACTGTATTTTAATGATATCTTAAACGACTTTAAATTGAAATCGGGTGATAGTTAAAGTCATGATATATAAATCTTGAAATTCAAAACCTAATCTCTAATAGTCTAACCCTCCTCTATTCTGTTGATTGATGTGCATTAATTAAATGTTAATACAAGGAATGGAGTATGTTCACTGTGGATGTGAAAGCAACCCTAAGACATTTTGACGTGTTTCATTTGTCGTCAAGTTTGATTATATAGTTTAGTTGCAGCCCTCTTGGTCACTGTGTTTGATGCTAAAATTTGATGTGGAAGTAGAAATACATACATAAAGCTAGCACAGTAGCCAAGACAGAGATGGAGATAGGAAAGGCATGTGAAAAAATTACAGAATTGGAGCTAAAAGAACAAAAAGGAAAATACAAAAGTTTTGCTAGTTGTGACGAATAAATTGCCTCCATAATTAGTACTTCCTTCTTTTAATAACTTTTTTGTAGTTACTTTTCTTTTTATTCTTTTTAATAACTTTGTGTAGTTGCTCTATGCTTAACCTTTTGATCCATAAAAGCAGGTACTTTCAAATATCTTTCTTCTCAGCTCCAATTTTATGTATAATAATAATGTATCTAAATTCAATTAATGTTTTAATTATGGTATTGTATTAATTAATCAAGCTTTGGCCCTGTTAGTCTTTTATCTAACTGTAACCTGTATTTTTTTATGATTAATTAAATGTACATATCGATACCAGTATGAATATGATTCTGCCTGGTCATTGTTTTAGTTGCGAGGAAAACAGATGTTAATTTCAAGATGATGAAGTGATATTGAAAAAAAAAAACTTTGAAGTATGAGCTGAATTGTGGTATAATTCTTTTACTAGATTGATAGTTTCAGAGATGGAAAGTACGGGCAAAATTAATAATTATGAAGAAGAACATGAGTATAGTAGGATATGAGCCAAAGTGAGTGATGATATTGAGTTGGTAGACAAGACTAGAGGTCTCTTCTCTTCCACAAAGGATCCCCACTGCCACGTGATTTTCATATTTTGATTTAGACAACTTAGTTTTACTTAACCACACATGAATTATGTGGGCGGCTTTATATGTATTTTTCATTCCCAAATTTATTTATTTATTTATTATTATTATTTTTTTTTTTTATGATAAAGGGTGTCCAGGTCAGTTTACGCGTACCTTAACTAATCTCTTGGTACCTTGAAATTACCGACCGAGTAAAAACTTCAGTGGATACCTCTATTAGTACCCTTGGAACTATCGATCAGGTAAGAGTTCCAGTAGCTACTCCTATTAATATTCGAAGAGGGATTCGAATTCAGGACCTTTTAAGTAATATACTCAAAAATCTATATCGAATCGCTCGACCACCCTTCTCAGCCCTTTATTTCTTTTGTTTACTACTGTTAATTTCATTATATTAATCTTCACATATTGACATTCTTAAATCTCAATTTTGTCAAAATCTGGCTATGGTTTTAGACTATAAACCTCTATGTCAACCGTGACTTTCAAGAAAGTTGTAAATAACTTGTTGATTTACATGCCATAATTTTATCAGATTATTTAAAGAGGGTTATATATAGTTTAAATGTAATTAAGGTAGCTTTAAAAATAAAAATAAAAATATTTCAAGTATTGTAAACTTAATTAGTGATGTTATTAATATATATATGTTATGGTAAGAGTAATATTACACATACATCATTTTCATACAACATATATTGCCACATAATGTTGTATGAGAAATGTTGTATGAGAATGATGTATGTGTAGTATTATTCGTTATCGTAATGTGTCGCAGAGCAATATTAATATTCTTACACTATAGTATTGCCTTATTATTAATATATTAAAGTAATGTAATGTCAACTCTTTGGCTATTATTACTCAACTAATAGCGAACATGTGCTTAATCTTGGTACGAAAAACTCATTTTATGCAAATTAAACATTTTATTAATGCTTTATTGTGAGTTAAGAGACAGTGGGGGGTTTAAAAATTCACATTCATTATACAAAATATACATCATGGTATATGAGAAAGTATGTTAGATTTCAGGATTTTATTAATTCAACTTCTAGAACTGGGGTAAGGTTGACTCTCATCGGTTGACTAACAATTTCAATAAAGAAGCTGGTGGGGTTTAGGATGACTTGAATCTTTCAATAACGTGTCTCAGAAATTGACCACATTAATTTTTATAATCCTCTGAAGAAAAACCTGCCCCTCTGTTCTCACTAATCCTAAATCTAATACGTTCATAATCATCGTAGCTTAACCTTATATATTCATCAACTTGCATATGATATGGGGTTGTAGTTTAGGGTTTGGATTTGAGAAATCAAATACGAGCATAATCACCATAGACATAACCTCATATATTCATCAACTTCCATATGATATGAGGTTGTAGTTTAGGGTTTGGATTTAAGAAATAAATGGGCAGTTTGTATTATTAGAAGGGTCAGGTCAGGTCATGCTATATCTTTTCATCTTTTTCAAATTAAAAGGCAAAGATTCCCATTAAGGGTTTGACTTAACGTTAAAAGAATTTGTCATGTTATTAAGTGGACTCCAATGGTTATACCGAAAACGAAGGGATATGATTTATCTATATCAAAGCTGTCGATGAAATATAAACTTTTGACAAAACACATACGCGTAAGCAAAAACTGATGATTGGATGGATGCAGTTGGGGGTCACCCATGAAATATTTGATAATTGAACATCTCCATGATGATCTAAAGCTACTTTAGTAATATATTTGACCAATCAAGAATATTTATTCAATCAAGTTGATGAAAGATATATAATAGTAGTCGTTGTTCACATTACTTTTTCCTACTCCAAACTAAAAAGGCGTTACCACTTTTGTGGGTAAATTTCCAGTGACAGCATATATGTTTCAGTTCCACGACTCATCGCACTCTCCTTGCACGTGCATTCAATCCCTTTAATCTACCTGATGTAAACCAACGCTTCAGATTTTCATTCACAAGGAATATTTACTGTACACTTTCTCTTAGATGCATTGAAACTCGCGATGTTGATGATGATGGTGGTGGTGGAGTCAGGTTGAGATTTTCATTGGACCAACATTCAATCATCTTTTTTCTCTTATCTTCCTTGGCTACATAAACTATTAATTAAGTTTGCTAAATCTAATGCAGTTCTATTATCATGTGATACAATATGTCAATGTACATTCTAATTCAGTAAATGAGATCAGATTCAGAGTTGTTAGTAAAATGTAATAAACGTTTCTTTTATAATCTGAAGTCAACTATTGTTAGATATATTAGATTGAATCATGTTAATATCTTTTATGTGAAGTAGTTTTCTTGATGTATTGCTTCAGTTCTAAATTAACAAGTTTTCTGTGTTTCATGTAAGATTTCAGTCTGGCACTCTGGCTACTGGGTTCACAGAAACTGAACAAAACTCAACTCAACTTAAATGAGACACCGGAGATATATTATAAAACAATCGAACACCATTATACACGTCATACATTTAATGGATGAAAACAAATGATAAAGATTTTTAAGATATATGCAGAAATTACTTCCTGCATCTATCTTAAAGATATTATTTCTACAAGAAATTGATACTGGTTTACATAATTCTTCATTACAAATGATGATAATTCATTCTGAAGATAAGTCCTAATTAATTGTAGAAGCATACAGCAACCACTACTTGATTTGGACCCACTTTGCCTTACTAGGAACACCTTCATGTACCACAAACAACTGATAATATCCTGGTGGTGCCAAGGCCGCACTGGCTGGGGCTTCTCCCTCCAGAGTATAGTTCTTTGCATTTGGATTCTTTTGCACTCCATTAATAGCCAAAACTAATAGCCTTTGATTCATGGCAACTGAATGTGTTGTAAATGATGGCGCTACCATTGTCACATAAATGTTACCAAGTTTACCTTTTATCGCAAACCCGATTGAAAGCTTTTGATTATATTTCAGCAACATTCCGGGCATTATGGCGGTGATGGATGGCCTGGGTTTTGTTGGGTCAAAATAAGGTGGATAAAATGCTTCAAGACTTAGTTCAGTAGGATAAAGTGTAGTGAAATTGTAGTTGGAATTTGGATTACTTCCACCAACTAAAACTCGGCCATCTGATAACAAATGAGCTGTGGAGTGATATAGACGTGGAATACTGGAACCACTTAAAATCTGAAACCTGTTAATTGGGGCATCTGGATTGTAAAGAACAGGATGTAATACTGGCGTTCGTGCACCATTCCAACCGGCGGTGCCTTTTGATGCACCATTAATGATTAGTACGTCTCCTGTTGGCAGCAATATCATGTCACCCATCACTCTTTCCAAAGGCATCTCTTCCATTTCCCAAGTTGGATTCTTGGCTGTGATCATTAACCGGCCACAAGATCTAGATGCAGGAAGAAAGATTTCTACCATAGACTTTTGAAATGAATCCGGTAATGTCCCACCACAAATCAAAACTTCAGCATTAGGTGTTGTAGTACTAGTTTTTGTATTGGGTGAGAGTTTCACAGGAAGAAGAGCTGAAGAGCCAGTGCTCGGGTAATTACGAGAAATGCCACCTGGTATTACAGGATAAGTCCTGACCACTTTATTGTTCATGTAGTCAAGTAGAATGGCACGGTCATTTGCAAAAATGAAGAGATTTCCATCGGGAGAGAGGTGTAAAAACGGATACAAATTATTAGGAATCTCACCTGAAAATCTATTTTCTTTAAGAAAGGGAAGTTGGTATAGTTTTTTATCAGAAGTGGAGGTTTTAGGAATGAATTCATATGTAAATTCATAAATCCCTCCCACAACAATAATTTTCCCATTTGGCAAAACTTGGTTAGAAGCGTACCATCTGGGTGAAATTAGACCATTTTGATGTTCTTCCCAGTCGCAATTTAAGCAAGGCTTGAAGTATCGAATCACGCGATCTCCAAGTCTGAACCCACCACTTTGAATTAAAATACCATCTGGTGACAATGCACCAGAAGAGCACCATGTATCAGTGAGTATAGTAAGAGGTCGAACATTTCGGGAGATGGGATCGAATTCTACAGAATGAGAATAGCAATCACTGCTCAAAACATCTTTCATGCACTTCCCCTGTGGTAGAGTAATGTTGGATGGACCAAAATTTGATCGATCAAATGTAATAATTCTATCATTTGGTAACAATGCCATGTGCATTGCTGAAATTCCAATACTTCTCTTCAGCAACTTCCATTTTCCTCGGGAGGGTGGACCGCCAAGCGCCAAACTGGAAAAAGAAAAGACTGCAAAAACTAGCCACACTAAGATATTCTCTTTCATGGATTTTTTCAAGATCAGAGCTGATTACATAGATAATGTGTTTAACTCCAGGTATTGAATCAGAAATAACAACAGTGGCATCAAATTATGAGTCAATCGACTTGCATGTTCTTGTATTTAAGAAAGGAATTAGCCATTCAATTTATCATTTGATTGATAGCCTTGGTGGTTGAATGAGTGATCCAAAATGACCTATCCTTACCTGTAATTTGTGTGGTCTGTTCTGAATTCTGATTCCGGACAAAGGTCTCAGTACAGATGCATTCATGAAAATTGTAAATGCTTCATAATTTTAACAACTACCAGTTTGTGCCTTGACTCACAGACGCATTCATGAATATGTTGGTTGATGAATTCTATTCACATTAAATCAAATTAATTGTGCATGGTAGAATGTACTCCTTGTTAATCCTGAACTACGATGATTGCAGATTACTAGTTTTGATTCCTAATTAAACTCCCCTTTATCTTTAACAAGAAAGATTAACCAGCTTTATAGACATGGAGTTATTGGCTTATTGCCTTTTATGAAGTCATGCCAACTGGCCTCAATTCATATTAATGCCTGTAATGCTTCAGCTTCTATAATTAATCTGTATATATATATTATAAAAATGCACGAAGCACATCAGTAGTTCAGTACTAAATTTCGGAAAGAAGGTACTTCTCTTTTAAATTTTGAGAGGGAGTATTATAATACACAGTTTTCGAATAATCTTCATTGGAGTTGGCCTTGCGCCATGAGCCATCGCTTCCTTTGCTTGGCCTTTATCTGTTTCTAATTAAACTAGGCTTATCATTAAAAGAAAGAATTTCTTTAAGACTGAATTAAAGCATACTCATGCATGCGCCGCTATCAGGATTTCAATCTTTCCCATGGCGGCGAGACAATAAAGTAATGTTGGGGGAACAAATAAATAACTAGATTACTCAAATCATTAATCGTTCATCATGAAATTATCATCTGTATACAGAAAAAAGAAAGCCATACAATATAAAGCAAAGCGATACTTAATCTTGTTGACCAAAGAGCATTAAGTTCACAAGTTGTTGTACTGTTTTGTAAATAGGTAAAAACGGTGGCGTTTCAATCTCTTTACACACTATTTTGTGTATAAGTTTCTAAGTGATTGTAAAACTAATTAAATCAATGAAATTCATATTCGACTTCTCATATTTTTCTCTATAGAAATTTCTAGGTTTAGTTTGAACTTTTATCAAATCTAAGAAACCAGAAAATTTCCCTTTACAATTGGTTTATATATGCACCGACAATTATTTCAGTCAATTATTTGGTCTAGCTGTCAGAAGCCACATTAAATATGAGTAAACTGCTTTTTCCCACCCAAGGTTTGCCTTAAGCACACTTTCTCATCCAAAAAGTTTTAAAATATCACATTCTCACCCAAAGTTAATATTCAGTTACTACCTAAAGCTGATTCCGAAGGCAGTAATTCTCTCTGTCATCACCATTTGAACTTTCAATCTCTTTTCTACAAAACCTCTCTCACTCTAGCACCTGATTTCCACCAATTGCAAGTCATTGCAAAGCTAATATTTCCTGTTTTTAACTGATTTTCGGATGATTCCGTTGATGAATATTCAATCGGTTTCCACCATTTGATCTACGGGCTTTTACTCTACAAAAAAACCTCTTATCCTAACTCCTGTTAACTCGTCTAATGCCTACTGAGAAAATAAAGTATATTTTAAATATCAATGGTATATATACATTAGGTGAAAAATGGTATTTTAAAACTGTTTAGGTAGGAAAGCGTTATTAAGCTAGAAAACTTTGGGTGGGAAAAAGTCATTTGCTCCATTAAATATTCCTCGTTTCCTCAAGTAGGATGACCCTGAATGAAGCAAAAACAATGAGGTCAAAAAATCCTGAGGGGTGCCAATCGGCCACTAGATGAGGCATTAAATTTTCACAACTTGTAGTTCTTAGGACTTGTCTCTCTCACTCTGACAATAGCCAAAACATTGATGATGCTTACGTCCATTTACACAAAACTCTATTGAAGGGTGAAATATTTGCATTCAAATGGCTATTGAGGCCGGGCTTTACTTGGGCCCAAATAAATTGGATAAAGGGCTTATAAATGGGTTCAATTGGCTGAGCCGTCGTTGATAAATCATAAGTAGGTTCATCAATTCATTAATTATAAGCATTTCCTTGGTTCCAATATTGGATTAGTTACAGAGATTTTCAACTGATTTTCACAAAATTATTTTATTTCATTAGACTGCGATATATTCTTAATGGTGTTATTTTTTAATGGAGATCGAAAAATTGATGAAACAGTAACAATTTTTTTTGGGTCCTGAAATTAACGATTGGTAAACCTTTTAGTTGTCACTCCTATTAGTAATCTAGGAGAATCAAACTCAAAACCTCTTGAGTAATATATCCAAAAGTCTCTATCGTCTCACCCGACTATCCAAGGGTGATTGATGAAGCAGTAATATTAGGATCAAACAATTTTATACAAAAAACAATACGCTTCTAGAGAAAAATGTGAGGACGGTAGAAGACTGTTAGAAGCATATTTTAAACATGTGGTGTCTTCAGAGAATGAAAGAAGGTATAATTAATTTATAATAGCGTTCCGTGATTGAATTGGTGTTGCTTACAATTAATAAAAAATGGGAAGCGTAACATTAAAAAAGGTGGATGAAAGAAGACTAAAGTTATCATTTTCATCGCATTTCAATTCACTCTTTCTCCAGTGATTATTTTGGCCTCTTCAAATTTCTTTCTCAGGGAATATTATAATGAATCATGCGTAACACAATTTTCATTTTAAAATCTTCAGATCGATGTCTGCCTTCTGGTTAGCCAACTCAGCAAGAAAACATCAGTCGAAATTGCTGAAACATTACCGAATAATCAGATGTATGTAATAAATTAAATAAGAAATTGCTATCAAGGTTCATGGATAGTGGATTCTAGAGTTGTTAAGCACTAAAAGACTTTAAGGAACAATGTCAGCATCAATGCCGCCAGCATTCCATTTGGCGCTCTCCTTGGAATTTAGTACACGGCATAAATATATAGCACATAATCTTTGGTCAACTTCAACTTTTATATATATATATATATAATAAAACCATAACGGTGGGATTAACTAATTTTATTACTATAAGAAGATTATAATTTAATAGAAGTGTAGTTACAAAAATTATAGTTTTGATTTCTTATTTTATAATTCATGTTTTAATAGTACAACATTAAGATTTCAATTCATATTTTAGTAATTGCTTACTTTTGAAACGGATAAAAGATCGTTTCTTAGAATCAGGAAAAATAAGTGACATTGATGGAATTGTAAATACAGTTGATGCATGGTTAATTGATGTGAAGCCACAGATAATTGTCAATAATTTTAAACGCTACAAAATTAGGACCGTTAATGTTAATGAATTGTAAGTTAATAAAGTGGATGATGAAAATAAAAGAGTCACTATAGAATTAAGTGATCAGATTTGACAAATTCACTATACAAATTGAATGGATATTGATATCTTTTTCGATTATCCAAATGAGCAACAAATCGTGTATGTTTTAACTAGGGATGTTAACGAGCCGAGCCGAGTTTTCGAATTAACAAGCTTGGCTCGTGAGAGAAGAAGATTAATCGAGCCGAGCTCGAGTTATGAAATTTGCAGCTCGGCTCGGCTCGAGAAAGAGTTTAGGATATATCGAGTCGGCTCGCGAGACGGCTTATGGAGCCGAGTTCGAGCCGGCTCTCAAAAATTCAATTTTTTTAGAAAAAAAATCAAATTTTTTTTAGCCAAGCTCGGCTCGCGAGCCTAACGAGCCGAGTCGGGCATGGCTCGAACTCGGCTCGTTCTGGCTCACGAATCGAGCTAAGCTGGCTTGTTATATAATGAGCCGAGCCATTAACGAGCCAAGTCGAGCCGGCTCGCGAGTGACTCGGCCCGTTAAGCACCCCTAACTTTAACCAAATGAGAAATCATTGTTGCAATTAGACAAGAAGAGAAAAGAAATAATCCTAAGGATAATAGTACAGAAACACAAAAAGTCTTGTACCATGAAGCTCTAAACATGCTTGAGAAACTAAAAATATTTTAGCTTCTACAAGAACGTATCCATACGAATGAGCTATTACGTACTCGTAAGGTAAAAGATGTGATAATAACTCTAAAGCATAAATCATTGTCCCAAACAATTTTAAATAAATATTTTATTTTATTTTAAACCTTTAATTTTACATAACATATATTTTTTTGTAATTATACAGATAATTATTACTATGGAGAGGCAACTTTCCTTAAGGCGGGAATTAGAAAAATTATAACTTATTACAATATAGAGTTTATTCTTATTATAACTATCCAAATTGGGATTATAATTTTTTATGACTATGTAGAGTTTATATTAAATATATTATATATATATATTATATATATATTGTTTTTTTTTTTTTTTTTTTTTGGTGATCGGGGGGTTGTTAGTGTATGGGTTAGCTTGTGCGCACCTCAACCCAGGTGGATCGAACTCATAACCTTTTGAGTAATAGATCCAAGAGTCATGGTTGACCGCTAGACCACCTAATGGTAGTTTTTATATCATTCCACGATGTGGCCTGCAAAATGGTTTTCCATTTCAAGTAAATAACATGTGTTAAGTGTACCTATTCAATCATGTTAAGCTAAAGGCATCTTGATAGCAATTAGGTTTGCGAGGGGCGGAAGAAGAAAAGGCAGTGCAGAGGTAATAGTTGTGCTACATGAATGAGGTCAATATATGTTTAATTCAAGGTTATGAGAGAGGGAAGTAAAGAAAGAGAGAATGTGAGGATACATGAGGTTCTAATGTAAGGGTACCATAAGGTAGAGGGCTCTAGGTATTTGGTAAATACTAAGGGGTATTAAACATCATAGGAACCGGATGTCTGCCTAAGTAAAGGTACTAGATTGATGGTGTGATGAACACTTATATATATCATACTCATATTATTATAGTGAAAATACTCTCATCCGTTAAATATAGGCTAGTTATGCCGAACCATGTAAAATATCATGTACCTTTATGTGTGTTGTTATGTGTTGTTCTTTAATTTTATGTGTTTTTTTGCTCCTCCGATTTTCAACAAAATTTTGCTAGCGTAAAATTAACTCCTTTACAACACTTTTGTTAGTAAAAGAAAGTCCTGGTAAAATATGATAAATTTCACCAATTTCTAGAGTAAATTTCCCATCTAATTATGTAAACTTGTCTCTACGAATTTGAATATGAGGGCAAGCAACCACATGATTAATCAATTTAGAACCATTATATGCCTGTTAGACTGACTTTGCTTTGTTTTTTTTTTTTTTTTTTTTAAGAGCCTTCATGTTCCTTAGGGTGCTTGTGCCCCTCTCTTTTTTTGTTTAGAGTTTGCGTGCTCCTTAAGAGCGTCTGTGCCCCTTTTGTATAGAGCTTGTGTGCTCCTTTTGAGCGGTTGTGTTCATCTTGGTCCAAAAAGATGGACACTTCCGTTTTGGTCAGTTTTAACCTTCTATTGAGTTATGCCGCTTGTATATTGTACATTCTTTCTTTCTTATGTATATTTACATTTTTCAAAAAACAAAAAAAAAAACTGCCTATTAATTATTTGTATGAAAGATATATAGAATCCATTTAATTAGATTCTCTTCGCATTTTCTTTAGTGTCGTGACTCAATCTTTACCTTGAAAGGAAAATGAAAATAAATAACTATGATCATCTGCATATCTTGGTTAGAGTTTGGATGGCAATGTTACATAGCATAATTTAGCAATGCCATTTACATATATGAATTCAACCCGTTAACTTATTATATTCATACAAAGTAATATAATAATATTAAACATACAAATTATTTATATAAATTGATGTGGCACTTAACACGAAGACAAAAATATTTGAGCATATCAAAGATTATTTTAGCGATCTATTCACTTTATACTCTATCCGGTTCTGTGGATCAATTTGAATAACTAGTTTATATATTTAATACTGTAGTGATCTTACAAAAGTAATTGAGCATATCAAAGATTCACATAGAACAAAATAATTTATGAACATTTGTGATTTATACTCGATCGACATTGTGGGATTGTGGATGCATAAATACATAAACTNAAACATCATAAGAATCAGATGTCTACCTAAGTAAATATACTAGGTTGATGGTGTGATGAACGCTTGCATCATACTCATATTATTATAGTGAAAATACTCTCATCCATAGATGTAGGCGAGTTATACCGAACCACGTAAAATATCGTGTGCCTTTGTGTGTATTGTTCTTTAATTTTATGTTGTTTTTTTTCTCCTCCGATTTTCAACAAAATTTTGCTAGCGTAAAATTAACTCCTTTACAACACTTTTGTTAGTAAAAGAAAGCCCTGGTAAAATATGATAAATTTCGCCAATTTCTAGAGTAAATTTCCCATCTAATTATGTAAACGGGCAAGCAACCACATGATTAATCAATTTAGAACCACTGGATGCCTGTTAGACTGATTTTACTTTGTTTTTTTTTTTTTTTTTTTGAGTAAACGACATATTCCCACCCAAGGTTTGACGAAATCCCAAGTTAGTATCACTGGTTTCATTTATTCCAAATTTCCACCCTTAAAGTAACAATATTATAAATTTTTAGGGTTTACAGGGTGCAATTACCATAATGCCCTTAACCCTAAATTAATAAATTATGTTTTAACCCCTAAATTTGTAAAATTATAAAACTTACCATTTTATTTTCAAATTATATCAAAGACACCCTCGGTCACTATACAGCTGTTTTCGACGATGTCGAACCCCCTGTTCACCTCCATCACCTTCCCCGTAGTCCGTCGTCCAAAACCACTCTGGTTCTAGACTCATTTGCCCCTCCAATCGTTGGCACTGTTAGGCTTAGGGTTTCGGTGTTCTTCATCGGATTCAGGTTGATTCCGGGGTGAAAATCCAATTGGACACCACCAATGCAACCACCGTCCCCAAATCTATAAAACCCCTATGTCCCCAACAATCGTTTCGTCGTCATTCGCTGGCCAAGAGTTCGTGTTCATCAGCCTTTTTTCGTTGCCGTGGCCGGAGATCGACGAGTGATGAGGGGTTGTGAATGGTTGGTTTTGTAGAGGGGAGGATGAGGGTTCAAATGGTGGTGACAAGGGTGATTTTGGGTGGAAAAATCGTCGAAAAAGAGAGAAAAACGTCGGGAATGACGGTTGCTAATGTGGGCCAGAGGACTGTTAGAGGCGGTGGTCTGCTAACGTGCGCCGCCCATGTAAAATGACCAATTTACTCATTTATCGTTACATCAAATGCTTTTCTGTCACTTTAAGTGTGAGAATCTGGAATAAATGGAACCAATGGGACTAACTTGGGATTTCGTCAAACCTTGGGTGGGAACATTTTGTTTACTCTTTTTTTTTTTTTTTTTTTTTTTTAGAGCCTTCATGTTCCTGAGGGTGCTCGTGCCCCTCTCTTTTTTTGTTTAGGGTTTGCGTGCTCCTTAAGAGCGTTTGTGACCCCTTTGTATAGAGCTTGTGTGCTCTTTTTGAGCGGTTGTGTCCATCTTGATCCAAAAAGATAGACACTTCCGTTTTGGTCGGTTTTAACCTTCTATTGAGTTATGCCCCTTGTATATTGTACATTTTTTTTTCTTATGTATATTTACATTTTTTTTGCAAAAAAAAAAAAAAAAAAAAAAAAAAAAACTGCCTATTAATTATTTGTATGAAAGATATATAGAATCCATTAATTAGATTCTCTTGCATTCTTTTAGTGTCGTGACTCAATCTTTACCTTGAAGAAAATGAAAATAATAACTATGATCATCTGCATATCTTGGTTAGAGTTTGGATGGCAATGTTACATAGCATAATTTAGCAATGCCATTTACATGTATGAATTCAACCCGTTAACATATTATATTCATACAAAGTAATATAATAATATTAACATACAAATATTTATATAAATTGATGTGGCACTTAACACGAAGACAAAAATATTTGAGCATATCAAAGATTATTTTAGCGATCTATTCACTTTATACTCTATCCGGTTCTGTGGATCAATTTGAATAACTAGTTTATATATTTAATACTGTAGTGATCTTACAAAAGTAATTGAGCATATCAAAGATTCCACTAAACAAAATAATTTATGAACATTTGTGATTTATACTCGATCGACATTGTGGGATTGTGGATGCATAAATACATAAACTGTGAGGGGAATCAGGTACAAAATTAAGGAATAAAAGAATATTAATCTAGTCATTAAATTAAAATCGAATCTGCTTGTGTTTGTGGAGGTTAATGTATTAATTATAAGCAATTTTAGATTAAATATTGCAAACGCATAACAGCATTTGAAAGAAAGAAAATATATCATATTTTGTTTCCCGTAACTAAGGTATGTAGGCTTACATTGGAACCTATTTAATTTTCAGGACCACAGAACACCCCACAAGTTCAATAAACCTAAGTAATTGCATAAATATAGTAGACACCTCTCTTACGAAGTGAAATACAAAATCTCTTAGATATAGCCAACGGCAATAGCTAATGGGTTTGTCATCTAATCATAGGGGTAAAGTTACAATATATCATTTTTACAAGACCAGAAAATCATATGCTGCTCCTTGGATATCCAACTTTTGAAAAATTTCCATGCCGTCTGTGAAGAATACTACTCAGTTTCTCCCAAAATGGCTTATCCGGATCAATCATTTCACACATAATTTCCTACATTGCAACAAAGATTAGTTCAGTCAAAGCTGAGCGAAATCAAATTGCAGCTTTCCCTTTAGAGAACAGTTTATCAACAAAAATATGTAATACCAAAAGAAGGCTCAACTGGTGCCTCTATGTGTAAAATGAACATTTAACAAGTTCTGATTTTTGAAAGCTTGGATATAGCCGTTTAGCCTTAGTCTTTTTAAGTCAATTTAGTTGATGTTGAATTTTATTTAGGTAGAAATGGTTCTGCATTATTTTGAAGGGCAAGAGAGGAGAGGGTGAAGGGGTTGCACCACTTAAGCTGACTTTTTTGTACTATAGATTCCCTACTAGTTAAAAAATAAATAAAAAGTGTGTTTAATTGCATACAGTTCTGTTCAATAGATACATCGTAGTCCACATTAATCACAGAGTGAGGATAGAGAGGAATCCATGGCGTCAATGCTGATGCTGACTAAACTGTACAGTAGTGAAAGAGAAAGAGAGAGTCAGATCAGACCATTAAAGGCATTCAGTGTTTCCATATGACTCAGGTTCAGAAATTGATGACAGAATGTGAGGCACACAACACCACCACAACACAAACCACGCGCCATTATTCAACTATGGTTGTCCTCTTGATGACGCTTCTCTTTTTCACCTTTCTAATCACCAACTGTTTCACCTTTCACCATAGTTTTCTGTATACTTGCTGTGCCCTGAGCACCTCCACAACCAGCACAAGCAAACTAAAACACACTTGACATTTCAAAACATCGAGATAATATGTATTATCTGGTGGCACATTATCACAAAACCCACCACAACTTTTCAAAATTAATATAGCAAGTTAATGGTAAAAGAGAACAAACTTCCAATCATAAGAGCAACTATATTAAATCTTTCTAAACTGGAAGTGCTTATGTATAGACAAGACTAAACGAGTTTAAACAGAATCGGTGGTTCAATCTATATATCTAACATTATGAGAGCCACAATCTAGGGCTGAATAAAACATCATAAAGTTGCAAGTAAGTTGTTTCTTAAATACAGATCAGTCAGTTTACCTTTGTGTTCTGAAAGATTATTCTTTCACCACCCTTTAAGCAATAGAAGGTGTAACCCATACGCTTCGCAAAAGCTAGTGCCATTGAAGGATCAAATCTTGCATATAATTTTTTTAAAAACAAAGAGAGCCACTTGCATAAAGAACAAATCTTCTGAGAATAAAAGAACCTGATGCACAAAGATATTATTACCTACAAATTACAAATAAATACAAAAATTCTAGAGTATGAAGCTCATCTATTGAGCATTGCAAGGGTCATCAGTTGACCATTACAATAGATCCAAGCGTCTGTGAAAAAGTACCAAGCTGATCAGTGACAATACAGCTGAAACAAAACAAATCCAAACAAAACAGGGCGGAGATTACACAGTTCCCACATTCCACCCTCCACCACTTAAAAACAACGAGATATATATAAACAAAGAACAAGTAACAGGACAAAACCACATATACCCACATATAAAATCTTAAAACTCAATGGTTTTCAGGTACTTTATGACAAAGCTTAAGAACCATAATGTAGAGGTTCCAAGTTCAAAACTAAAGAAAGAAATCGTGTTTAAGAGAGTTATGTCAATGTTAAAATATGAGATTTCGGTAAGCCTTATCTGATCATTAGACACCATTTACCACATATGAACCATGAAACCCTAAGAAAAAGGCAGCACAAAAGGTTAATAGTAAAACAAAAACCTAAGCAGAGTTGGTGGTGGAGGAAATGATGATGGTAGTGAGAGTGTCAAAGAAGAAGCCAAGAAGGGAGTAACCGAGTAGATCAGGAAAGAGCAGAAACGGACAGAGAAGATTCTTGAAGCCATCATGAAAGAAATCAGTTCAATGATGAAACCAAAAAGAGTTATACTGACAAACAACGCAAACCCTGATCCATAATATTTAGAAAGAAAGAAAAAATATATATATACAAGTGTAATGATGATCTTTTCCATTTCAGTCAGAAAAAGAGTTCAAAAGCAGTCAAAACCTTTCATCATTACACCAATCTGGTCATGGCCAATGACCTTGATCTCTCTATTTACCAAAAAAAAACACCCATACAGAAAACAACATAAATCGATACCAAAAACGAAACAACCACATGTAGTAAAAATATGGGAACTAAAACTAGGACAACTCACCTTCAGATCAACTCCAAAATTAAGAATTAAAATGTCTAAATGATAGATAGAAGCAATAATTGGGGGGAATGAAGCCTGGTCCGACGTCACAAACTCATGATCAATGATCAATATCTCGATTGTTAGTAAATCTATTTTACTTTTTCCTTTTTATAAGATCAATTGAGATAGAATCATAGATCCAGTTGGTGGCCTCGAGCCAGACAACATTCCCCTCAAAAGAAAAAGCTTCCTCTAATCTGTTGTTTCTCCGGTATTTGACAAACCCAATTGACCCAAGAACGTTGAAAGAGAGAGATGGGTTTGGTGTTGTGTGCGAGATGATGAAGAGTGTGTGAGTGAGAAATCAAAAAGAAGGAAAAGGAAGAGATAAAAAGGCTAAGGAGAAGGAAGAGGGTTGGAGAAGGTGAAAAGGACAAACAAAGTAATAAAAGCAGCAGGCCCCTCCTGACCCTACTTCTCCAGAAATGACCACGACTCCCATCTCTTTCTCTCTCTCCCTCTCTCTCTTATCACTCACTTCATTCATCTATCCATTTCATCGTCTCTATATCATGCAATGCAAATATTTATAGAATTCAGCCCTCTCTCTCTCTCTCTCTCTCTCTCTCTTTTTTCTCAAAGCCCTTTTTTTCTCTTTACACGTTGATTTCAAATCCCATGTTCACCGCGAGATCATCATCATGACCTAATCACGCATCATATACCAAAAAAATATATATATATCTATATACACACATATAGATATATCTTAATCAATCCAATCAAACCCTAGTAATAATCCCACAATAATTAGGTTTCCTATGTTGTATTATTTCATAAAGCGCATCTTATTATGAGAAACCATTTTCAACCATATGTTTATTTGTACATGAGGATGATATGATAATGATGATGAGACAGCACCAAGCAAGTAAGCCAAAAATGAGTCAGAATTAGTTGAGCTAATACACCGACTTTGCATAAGAAAATTTGGTTGCTTTTTATTTAATAATTAGTTTTTTACCCTATATTATTATTATTTTTTTTTTCTTTGAAGGGTGTAAAATATAAATGATTTTCATTAAAAAGGGAACTCCCTCGTTCAGTGCAAAATTTTTACTACTTTTTCTACGCTCGCGGGGGATTCGAGATGACAACAGACAGAGACAGACATAAAAAAGAGCGGTGGTCACTGGTCAGCGTACTGTTCAAAATTCAGGTGCCTTCAGGTCCACCCGATGACACATGGTCCTCCCAATTCAGATTCATTTATAAACTTCAAGGTCCCACTTGTTTATTAAGTTCTTCTACCCTCACTCAACAATAGTAATCAACTATTGCTTTTCCCTTTAATAAAAATTTCCATTATATTAAAAGAGATGTTGTGTTCAGCGATTGCATTAAAGTTTCGAAGCGTAAGCATACGATGGGTACACATCACATTAATTAATTTTGTGTGAAAGGGTGGGTGTGTTGTGTTGGGAAGTAGCACTAGTTTTTGAAAAGAAAACAGCAATATCCAAGTAGTCACGAGATTTGCTGGCTAGCAGCAAATGTTAGTGTGAAATTCAAATTTTAATTGGGTACAACAGTAAGTAAANTCACTCAACAATAGTAATCAACTATTGCTTTTCCCTTTAATAAAAATTTCCATTATATTAAAAGAGATGTTGTGTTCAGCGATTGCATTAAAGTTTCGAAGCATAAGCATACGATGGGTACACATCACATTAATTAATTTTGTGTGAAAGGGTGGGTGTGTTGTGTTGGGAAGTAGCACTAGTTTTTGAAAAGAAAACAGCAATATCCAAGTAGTCACGAGATTTGCTAGCTAGCAGCAAATGTTAGTGTGAAATTCAAATTTTAATTGGGTACAACAGTAAGTAAATAGTTCTATCTAGTGGCTACATCCCAATACCATTCGTTCAAATTGCTTCTGCTTTTTGTATACATTGCTGCAAACGCTGTTGAAAAGTAGTTCCTTCTTCTCCTTTTTTCTTTCATGCTAAACCAAACTCCGCCGAAAAGAATTCCAAAAGCTTTATTCATAGAATCGATTCGCCTTTCAGTTTTCTATAATAACATATATCTTTTTGTACTAGAAGAAGAATTCGTTCATAAATGTCCATTATCTTCATAACCCGCGCCGTATTCTTTGCGTAGAGTAATAGAAAGCCAAAGGTGATAAGGTTGCTGCATAATAATTAATACATAATTGGTGCAATTAAAGCTCTTTGCTTTACTGACCTGAAGTCACCATTTTGACTCAAGTAACATGAAAAAAATTGAAAGCATTCTTACTCTCTCTTTCCCAAGGGCTCTAATTTCATGACCATTGACCTAACCAATCCAGCAGGCACCAAACTTTACCTAGATTTTTGTTTTTATTTCTCAATTCCCACTTCAAACAATACCGGCATTGTCTCTTACTTTTCTTCAAAATATTCAAAAGTTTTTAGATTAATATTTATCACAAACTCGGTTTAGCTAGCTACTGTCACTGTTCTCTTGTCACTATGTGCGCGGCTTCAGGAATCAGAGTATCAAAGCAGGATAAAAATAAAAGATTGTGATCAAATTTGGTCACAAAAGGGCGTGTTTAATAGTATGATAACGTTGCTTACTTTAGTAAATGAATAAATTAATTTCACTTTTGTATATTTAACACTTAACCTCGCTGCTGCTAATAGCATTAGGTGCAAGAGTGGTTGAAAAGTGAAAAAGATGAGGAGCCTTTTGTGCAAGCTTTTAGGCGAGCCAACCCCAGTTGGGGCTCTTGGTTGAGAAAAGAAGATTCTCTAATGACTAAACAACGTAAAAAATAGAACCAAAACTTACGTGGGTGAATTTTTTTTGATGTTTGAAACTTCACACTCAAACATGCATACCACGACACCTTGAATTTCGTTTCCAATTTATTTAACACACCAACTTTCAGCTGTCGTTGGATACTGTTTAATTTTACTGGCGATTTGTAAATTGTTTTGCTACCTGGTAGTAAAAGCTGGAACCCAAAAAAAATTGTACTACACCTATTAATTAAAATCTTTTACATGAGGGAGGAAAAATTGTGCCACCAATTGGTCAACTTGCTGTGGATTATTGATATCCATCTCTATTGATCACGTCTGCTTCTTTTAATTTTCTTTCATAGTACATTTATGATAAGTCCCTTCATTGCCATGATCTAATTGTTTTAAAGGATTAAGAATACAAATATATGATTAGTACCAGGCTATTATGTTTGAACAATTGTACCCTTTATGACATGATTAAAATTTTAAAATGGATCAGGAATATAAACACAGTGACACTTGAGGCATCGATTTGCTAAACAAGGGAGCAACAATTTGATAAAAGGGAGAGGCTGAGAAGATATACAGGGATAGCTACAAATAACAAGTTTTCTTAGTGTTTCAATTCAACTTTTGAATGAGTACTGTTGATGAACAATCTCTGTCTAATTCTTGATCAAGCCTGCAAGCCCCATTTCTACTGCTAGCATGTTCAACATGGGGTTAGGGTTTTCTATTATGACGTATTTTATAATAGTGAAAAGTCTAATATGAAAAAAAATAGAGTTAGAGTAAGTTGTTGTATTTGTGTCAAGTTTTGATACTCAATAAGAATTTTCTCTGTTTGAATGCTAAATGTAATTCCTTAATTAAAACGAACGAGAATAAATTGTGTACTGACAGAAAATATAACCAAAAGCCAAATTGTATCGTAAACAATTGATCAATTACTTTTTGAATGATTTTGTTGGCCGACTTATAGCGAGTTGCAGTGGTCAACCTTTCGTTTCTAAAATGCTCAGGTACCGTTAATTGCCGGAGATCGCTATGTGGATAACCCGAACAGGTAACCAGAGTTGAGTGGATAATACCTAAAGTTGTCCGGATTGGTCAACCCGAGTTTTGACTGTCTCACATTGATTTCTCATTTTTCGTGCAATAAGAGCAATTTCCCTTTTCAGTAATTCAACGAAAGCTAACTAATTTCATATTAACGGCACCGCCTTCCAAATTGCGTTTTCTTAAAAATTCAGTGGTAGTAGCCATTCTGATTTTGATCGTACTTATACTTTGTCATTAACTTCCGCTGAACCAATGTCAATGGGTTGTTCTCAATACTAGCTTAGAAGTTCTTAGTCGAATCTCTCTCTGAAATGGAGCCCCGCTACATTTTTCAAACGCATCAAGACAAGTTTCGGCTGGACCATTGCCCCCACAACCGCAACTTGATCGCCACGTTTGAATTCCTACAATCTTTCAACGAGACCATGGTTTTGACATGTCACAGCCGTGGCATTTTGAGATTGGCTTTATAAAGACAGTGCAGCCGTGGCTTTGTCATTACGCAATGATCCAAAGCTGCCAGCCACTTACCGGATAAATGACTTTAGATAAACGTGGCAACCTTAGAGTGTTTAGGGAGATGAATGTGTTGGGTTTCTTTTGATAAAGTAACATATTCCCAATTCCCATTATACAGTGAAATCCAACATAACCAGTTACAATGAATGAGTAATTGACGAAGGAACTAATCAGTCTCCTCTTATATTGAATTAACCCACGTTGATTTACAGAGAGAAGATTTTGAAGGACTTTTACAGCGAGGAAAAAGTAGGAATTGAGCAGAAATTTGACAGTAACCATAAAACCCAGATACAGATACGGATACAGTTAAAGATCATAAACAAGTTGTGAGAAGGATTTAGCAACCCACAAGATTATCTGATACAGAACCGATCAAACTGGAAAATGAAATATGAATCACAGGGTCGGCGAGTGAGAGTACGATACACCAGATGTCCAACAGGTGGTCCAAATTAAATGCATAAACAATGAGTATATACAGATAATATTTTCCTCTATTAAACCAAGCTGAGGCCCACTGAAGGGGATACTCACATCACTTACCCGACTATAAATATATTTATTTGTGGAAAATCCATCACCCACTTCACCTCCGCAAACATAACCATACCCACCACCAAGCGAAGAGCAAGCTTTGAGCGACCACATACACAACAGTGAAATTTGAGGCCTTTTTACCAGGCTGGATTTGGATATGCAGCAGATAACAAGTAAGAGAAAATTCAGCGATGAACAAATCAAGACCCTGGAATTCATGTTTGAATCGGAGTCAAGACCTGAGTCCAGGATTAAACAGCAGCTGGCTGATGAGCTTGGTCTACAACCTCGTCAGGTGGCTATATGGTTCCAAAATCGTCGTGCAAGATTGAAGACTAAGCAGATTGAGCTTGATTATAGCAAGCTCAAAGCAAAGTTCGACACTCTAGCTTCCAGCTATGAGTCCTTGAAAGAAGAGCATCACTCGTTGCTTGTCCAGGTACTCTGCTTCTATCTGATTGCATATATACTACACACTAAGCACCACTTCTAATTCACTGAACTGAAAGAATTTTTGTGGTTTCAACAGTTACAGACACTAAAGACTATGCTTGAGAGATGTCAACATGGCGCAGAAAACTCGGTACTGGATCATAATGAAATCTGCAGAGATGTCAAATGCGAGAACGAGGACACCACAACTGAATCGAAAGAAGTGTCTATGCTTGTGTCTGAATGTAATGATCATGTAGGCTATGAGCCTTACGGTGATGATAAGAAAGGAAATGCTGAGAGCACTGTGGAAAATACTGCAGTCATTAACATAGAAGGCCACACAAAATCATCGGTGAACTGGTGCAATTTTGAGTCCAGTTTTCTTGAGGAGTCAAGTTCTACTTCAGAGTGGTGGGAGTTCTGGTCTTGAACATTAGGGTAAGATTATACCCTTATAGTTTGGAGAAACAAATATAGCATCGGCGACAAATGGAAGTCTACTTGGATCAAGAATTTCGATTCCAGCTTATGACTTGGAATCGCTCATTCTAGACAAACTTTGATCCACTGCTAAACAATCCCCATCATCAATATAGCCAAAATCTAGGATAACTTTCAATAGATAGGTTGTACAGCGAAAATTTCCAACACTCAGATTATAGAGTGAAGATAGGAAATCGTACTACAATGATATAGAGCAAATTTGTGAGGAATTGCATGACTCCAATAGTAACAAAATTTTGAGTTGACAAATATATACACTGAAATAACTCATACAATCACATAAATGAATGCTAGCATAGCAACATTCATTGGGAATTTTCTATTAACCTTCCAAAAGAATATTTTTATTGATCTATAAACAACTGATCACAAGTTCTCACATCCTCGAATTCAAACAATAAATGCTGCCATATTAGATCTACATATCCATGCAGTCAAGCAACTCAAAAGTATTACACAGCAAAAGTAGACAAGAAACCCCAGCCCATCTGGATAAACTAACATTTAAAGCTCGGATTTAACTTTCACATCTCCATTTGGTAACATATTTTGTGATTGAGGAAGTCGTTTCGATTCCTGCATTACAAGCAAAGATCCTTAAATTATGACAATAGGTAAGAAAAACTAACAGAACAAGACTGAAAGCTTAATATGTTCCCAAGTTTCCAAGCAGCACTTCCATTTAATGCTAAAGGTAATTTTAGCGGTAGAATCCATGATTGAACTTCACGCATTCACTTTACAATAGAAATTTTTTGAAGTGTGACCTAATGCGACAATTACAAACATCTCTTTTTTTTTTCTTTTTCTAATATTGAACAAAGTGTCAACCATTTGTTTCAATGTATGGGTTCTACCACAAACCTAAGCTGCAGTAATGGATAAATGGATATATCTTTAACCTTCCAAGACTTGGACAAGCTGATGAAACACAACCATTAACAATTACTGGCACCCACTAATGAGTATGTGTACTGACTAGGTGAAAGCAATAAGCTAACAAGTCCCGAACCAGCGAAAAAGTACAGAATCTAGGAATTCTTAATTTAAAAAAACCTCAGTAAAAGTAAACCGTTTTCAGGTTGTTGATTGTGACGCAACTAGATTTTATGTTGAGGCTATAAAAGTGAAAATTTTTAGAGTTTGAAAATTTTTAGAGTTTGACTCTACTAAAAACTAAAACATGCATACACTGCTTCAATTTCTAAAGTGTGCACCATTCTCAGATCACAAAGAAATTGACATAAAAATGAGATAGAAGAGGAAGAATAATGATGCTTTTCAACTAGTCGAAATAAAGAAGACCAGAAAAGTAGAATAAATAAAGGGGACAATCAGTTTTGGTATCCATTCTACATGAGGCACGAGGGTGACAACTTACAGCAGCAGAACTAGCACGTATCTCCCTGTATGCTTCAATTTCATCGGGAAATGTCTGCTCAAGTTCCTCCAAAAGATGCTTACGTAAACTCTGAAAAACCCACAAGCAGATTGATGATTCACAAACTTAATAAAACAATCATACTAATATCAAGAAAAACCAAGAAACTACCTTGAAAGCATCAGTTTTGCCTTTGGTGACCTGATTTTTAGCAATGCAATTGTTTATAACATCCCTCGTGAATTCATCCGGATTTTTTCCATCATCAATCAAACTACACATGAAGCGATAAATTATTTTGCAGAAACCAAAATAACCTCCATCCCACAGAGAATAAAACATGAAAAAGAACTCACTTAAGGACTTCCATCGGAACCTCAATTTCGCACTTCTCAGACAATTTAGCCATGTTGTCAAGCTCCGTAACCAAAGAATTCCTACAAAACCAATCCTAACACAAATAAATCACCAACCCACAAACCAAAAACAAACAACAATTAGACAAAGAAAGCAGATTTGAAGAAAATTACAGTCGTTGAAGGAGAGGCAGCTGCGAAGCAGCATTAAATGAAGAGACAGTGAGGTAGAGCTGGTGGAGCAGAACAAGAGTCTTCTGAATTGAGTTAATAACTTGGTTTAGGTTCTGCTTCGCCTCATCAGCTGCCACTGCAGCTGCATCGTTAGTTTGATTACTCACGGTCCCCCCAATTGCATTCTGCGATGCATCCATATCTCCTATCTATCTGTTTATCAAATACAAATATAAACCAAAAAATAAATAAACAATAAGCAAAATTAACATGTTTTTTCAGCTTCAATTTCTAAAACCCAGGGAAACGAAAGCTCGTAAAAGATCAATTAATTGTACAAAACAAACAAAGTGAGTAATTACATAATAAAAAAATCACGAAAGTAAAGCTGTTCAAACCCTAAATGTCCCAAATAAAACTGAAATATAAATTTTGAAAGAGGGAAACTAAGGAAATAGAAATACATACAACTGAAAGTTACAACAGTTCTTCGCCGCCGAAATTACTTTTATCTTCTACTCAGTAATCACCAATTCTGTTGAAATTTTCAAATCAATCTGGTGTTTTATTCTGAATTCGTTTTGGCCATGAATGCGCGTTCTCGGCTTTGATTGGGCCGGGTTTTTTTTCATAAGAGTGAACATTTAAAAAAAAACCCACGTATTTGCTAAGCAGCCCACAAATACAAATTTGGCGGATTTCTTCGGGCCTAACAAAAAGCCCACTCAAATGAGGCTTTTTGTAGTGAGCATAACCTTTAGATAAACCCTAACCCCCATAAGCCCAAAATGTTTTTCAGTTTTGAAAGACGAAGCAAGCCTATTTATCATTACAGTATTTACTGACTTCATTTCGCTACGATCCTTCCGATGATCACGTATTGACGTTAAGAGACTTTCCTAAGTCCAAGTATAGTTTTGTTGAACAGAGACTTCTAGCCAGCAGCATGAGCAATTAAAGAGGAAAGAATGCTTTAACTTAATCTAACGAAAGAATGCTTTAACTTAATCTAACATGGGAATATAAGCTCCAGAATTCACGTGGTCTCAGTAATATCATTAGTTTTATAGATACAGAGCCACGTTGGATGATCAGATATCTCAGTGTCGTCGATCAAGGTTTGATTTATCCAAGTTGCAGTAAGTTTTTAGACGATAAGTCTTTATCAATGTGTGGAAGACAACATTATAGAAAGCTTGCAGAGACAGTAATAACTTTAAATCCATTAGTTGGTTTTGATCATTTTTTTTTTTCTCTGGAACAGCCAGCTGGTATTTATTTCCTCCTAACAAATGGAAGCAGGTGTAGATGGGGAACACAAAATATTATATGCAAAACACAAAAGCAAAGAGAACCAAATCTGTGTATATGATCCATAGATTAAGGCTATATATAAAGATATATTATGTTGTCTTGCTTTGCTTTTATAGAGAGGGTCCCTCAACTAGGTCTTATATATATGTATGACTGCGTACAGCTCAATCCCTTTTCTCTTGTCGAATGACGCTTCAAGATGTCAAAATCATTACCCACTATTAATCTTCCTCTTAACTCTACCGTAATTAATCTATACTTAGTTCTCCTTCTTTTTCTAGCTTAAACGTCTTTCGTTTCTTGCCTATAAGATTTCAGAAGATCTTAAAGTACGTTCAGAGATATGCTATGCCTAGCTTCTTTCAGCGTCAAGAGGAATTAGAATCAATACAGTAGCACACCATCCTTTAATTTAATTTATTTTCCCATTTGCTTCTAGCTCAGGGAATCAAAAGTAAAGATAACAACAGCCTGGAGTATATTAGAACTCCCAGATAATGATAGAAATCTAATTTTTTTTTTTTTCCTTAATTTACTTATACAAGTCATACTCCTTCCAGCTAATTGTGGTCCTGTTGAATCTTCTTAAACAATAACATGGACGTGATTAATCAGTAAATTGAATTTAATTGCATTGAGAAATATTAGCAGCAGTNTCCGGAAATGTCTGCTCAAGTTCCTCCAAAAGATGCTTACGTAAACTCTGAAAAACCCACAAGCAGATTGATGATTCACAAACTTAATAAAACAATCATACTAATATCAAGAAAAACCATGAACACAAGAAACTACCTTGAAAGCATCAGTTTTTCCTTTGGTGACCTGATTTTTAGCAATGCAATTGTTTATAACATCCCTCGTGAATTCATCCGGATTTTTTCCATCATCAATCAAACTACACATGAAGCAATAAATTATTTTGCAGAAACCAAAATAACCTCCATCCCACAGAGAATAAAACATGAAAAAGAACTCACTTAAGGACTTCCATCGGAACCTCAATTTCGCACTTCTCAGACAATTTAGCCATGTTGTCAAGCTCCGTAACCAAAGAATTCCTACAAAACCAACCCTAACACAAATAAATCACCAACCCACAAACAAAAAACAAACAACAATTAGAGAAAGAAAGCAGATTTGAAGGAAATTACAGTCGTTGAAGGAGAGGCAGCTGCGAAGCAGCATTAAATGAAGAGACAGTGAGGTAGAGCTGGTGGAGCAGAACAAGAGTCTTCTGAATTGAGTTAATAACTTGGTTTAGGTTCTGCTTCGCCTCATCAGCTGCCACCGCAGCTGCATCGTTAGTTTGATTACTCACGGTCCCCCCAATTGCATTCTGCGATGCATCCATATCTCTATCTATCTATCTATCTGTTTATCAAATACAAATATAAACCAAAAAATAAATTAACAATAAGCAAAATTAACAAGTTTTTTCAGCTTCAATTTCTAAAACCCAGGGAAACGAAAGCTCGTAAAAGATCAATTAATTGTACGAAACAAACAAAGTGAGTGATTACATAATAAAAAAATCAAGAAAGTAAAGCTGTTCAAACCCTAAATATCCCAAATAAAACTGAAATATAAATTTTGAAAGAGGGAAACTAAGGAAATAGAAATGCATACAACTGAAAGCTACAACAGTTCTTTGCCGCCGAAACTACTTTTATCTTCTACTCAGTAATCACAAATTCTGTTGAAATTTTCAAATCGATCTGGTGTTTTATTCTGAATTCGTTGTTTTATTCTGAATTCGTTTTGGCCATGAATGCGCGTTCTCGGCTTTGATTGGGCCGGGTTTTTTTTCATAAGAGTGAACATTTAAAAAAAAACCCACGTATTTGCTAAGCAGCCCACAAATACAAATTTGGCGGATTTCTTCGGGCCTAACAAAAAGCCCACTCAAATGAGGCTTTTTGTAGTGAGCATAACCTTTAGATAAACCCTAACCCCCATAAGCCCAAAATGTTTTTCAGTTTTGAAAGACGAAGCAAGCCTATTTATCATTACAGTATTTACTGACTTCATTTCGCTACGATCCTTCCGATGATCACGTATTGACGTTAAGAGACTTTCCTAAGTCCAAGTATAGTTTTGTTGAACAGAGACTTCTAGCCAGCAGCATGAGCAATTAAAGAGGAAAGAATGCTTTAACTTAATCTAACGAAAGAATGCTTTAACTTAATCTAACATGGGAATATAAGCTCCAGAATTCAGGTGGATTCAGTAATATCATTACTTTTATAGATACAGAGCCACGTTGGATGATCAGATATCTCAGTGTCGTCGATCAAGGTTTGATTTATCCAAGTTGCAGTAAGTTTTTAGACGATAAGTCTTTATCAATGTGTGGAGGACAACATTATAGAAAGCCTGCAGAGACAGTAATAACTTTAAATCCATTAGTTGGTTTTGATCATTTTTTTTTTTCTCTGGAACAGCCAGCTGGTATATATTTCCTCTTAACAAATGGAAGCAGATGTAGATGGGGAACACAAATATTATATGCGAAACACAAAAGCAAAGAGAACCAAATCTATGTATATGATCCATAGATTAAGGCTATATATAAAGATATATTATGTTGTCTTGCTTTGCTTTTATAGAGAGGGTCCCTCAACTAGGTCTTATATATATGTATGACTGCGTACAGCTCAATCCCTTTTCTCTTGTCGAATGACGCTTCAAGATGTCAAAATCATTACCCACTATTAATCTTCCTCTTAACTCTACCGTAATTAATCTATACTTAGTTCACTTTCTTTTTCTAGCTTAAACGTCTTTCGTTTCTTGCCTATAAGATTTCAGAAGATCTTAAAGTACGTTCAGAGATATGCTATGCCTAGCTTCTTTCAGCGTCAAGAGGAAGTAGAATCAATACAGTAGCACACCATCCTTTAATTTAATTTATTTTCCCATTTGCTTCTGGCTCAGGGAATCAAAAGTAAAGATAACAACAGCCTGGAGTATATTAGAACTCCCAGATAATGATAGAAATCTAATTTTTTTTTTTTTTCTTAATTTACTTATACAAGTCATACTCGTTCCAGCTAATTGTGGTCCTGTTGAATCTTCTTAAACAATAACATGGACGTGATTAATCAGTAAATTGAATTTAATTGCATTGAGAAATATTAGCAGCAGTGCTCTCGATTATCAGAAGAACTAAACTGTAGAATTTCCAAGAAAGCTGATTAGTTTTCACCCTTAAACTAATGATAGGCTATGGATAGCATCGAATCCTTTGATGTAATATTAATAAAATGATCCACATTCGTGCCGGTCAAGGTCTTCCGAATTTGAAGTTGGATCGATGAATTTCAAATAAGCTAATCAAGAGTGAGGACCAAGACCCCAAATTGATGACATCTGAATCAACTTGGTTTTGGTTAATAGTCATTTCCATGATTAAGTTCCTCAGGAATCTTCTTCATTTAATGGAGAAGCAACTAAGTTATTTGAAAACCCTTTTTTGGGTGAACAACTCACAGTTGTTTATCACCAACCATTTAATGTATTGAATTATATAAAGAAAACGAGAGAGAGAGAGAGAGAGAGACAGGTGGATAGTTATGTGCACAGAGTAAGCAAAAACTTAAAAGCTTTTCAAGTTGAACATAATTAAATCACTGAACAAATCTTTTTCACTGGTATCTCTCACAATGAAAAAAAGAGAATAATTAAAGCCTGATAGATTTTATGGTTATTTCAATTCAGTAGTGCTCCTCTTGTAAAGTTGATATGAAAATTCATCACCAATCAACTACGTACGTACATAATCAATGTCCCAGTTGAGATTTAAGTTTAACCACACGTCTGGTAAGATAGCAATAATATTATATAGTCAACCACAGAGATCTAATTGTACCAAAAGAGAATAGATGCTAGGAGGATAGTCACATTGTCTTTGAATTTAGCCATAATAATAATGTTGTTGAAAAAAATTTAAAAATTTTAGCCACCACTACTTTATTCTCTTCTTTTACCGTAAGCTATAATGCATCGATCACCCAACGCCTTATATCTCCACAAAATCAATACACTTTTGACTTACCTTGGAGTGAAAACGAGAGAATGCAGCAATTTGCACAAATTGGACAAGTCTATAAAGCTTCTCAAAAGACTCTAATTGATATCTCTAATCAATTAATTTCCTTTAATACATTCGAATAAGGATTGAAATGATTTGAATAAGTTGATGAGTCAAAGTAATGAAATGGAATCAAATCATGGCTTTTGTCTTTTTTTCCTTTTATTTTACAAGTGGGAAAGACCAATATAATCCACTAATTCAATTAAAATATTAAATAATTAGTAAAACATGGTGAATAAGTAGCAGTCAAAAGGTTAAATTTTTATCATCCCTTTGAATGAATTATGATGTAAATGTACAATGTTCTTGATCCCCATATCTGAAACAGCTTCACGTTCAAATCTCTCTTCGCATAATACTATATAGAGATCTCTGTTGGCCAGATTGGAAAACACCATTGATCAATCCACAATACCCCCCCATTAAGCTAAGAAAGAAGTTAAGTATTTGATTCTCTAGAGGCACTCATATTTTATAATATGTTAAAATGTTTGTGGCTATTGATATCAGATTTGCTTTATGGATTCATAATTGTGCCTCCCACATAAACATATATAGTATTTTAATTATGCCAATCCAAAGCGTGGTGGTTAAGGTTATTTGATTATGTTGGAATCTATAATCAATGACTCCTTTGAATGATGCCATCACAAATCTGATTCCCATTCCTGGCCTTCCTTAACTTATCATTTTCTTTTCTTTTTTTGAGGTGCAGATATTTTCCTCTTGAAAACTATTGAAACCTTTCTTTAATTCACAGTAATTCTCACATTCCCAATGAAGAAGAAGAAGAAGATGATGATGATGATGATGATGAACCTCTGCACAGTCGTTTTGATTAGCCAAAATCTTAATTAATTAATTAATAACAAAAACATGGATAGATGCTAATGGCATCAACCAGAAAGGGCATTTATTTATCTACTATTTATGAAATTGATTATTCATTGCAGGACTGTTGATTCCCCAAGAATCAAAATATTATGAGGTGAAAGTGAAGGAATAATAATATAAATTTTGTACTTCGAGTGCGGGGCAGACTTTGACAAATCTATATATATCACCAATAACATTTTTAATAATTATTAAAAAAGGAAATTTAAAAAAAAAAAAAAGAATATCGAGATGATAATTGGAAACAAAGTCACTCTCCTAAGTCCTGACCCTAGATTTTGTCTGCCTTATGTTCCAAAATAAAAAAGATTTATTGCTTTTTTATTATTTTATAATCTCCCAATAATTAGCCTCAATTTTGACTACGTGGGACCCGGTCCTTATGTGGCTATTTTTGTGTTGTCCTATGTTTTTAATATTACGGTTTTGTCCTTGCTCTTAAAGGGTCATGATTTAGACGGACAAAACATTGCCCACTGTCCACCAAGACGCGTGGAGACTTCATTAGCAGCTTCGATACACGTGAAAGCAGAGTATCTGACAAAACTTCTAAACATTCTGGTCCACGTGGACCCTCACTACTTGCTATACTACAGTTTGTGCTTCCCTCAAAAAGCTCCGAGTATTATCATCAAACCTTTGAGTCGACGCGTATTAACATGACACGGCCCCTTATGTATCTCTGCTACTTAGATTTTTCATGCACAAAAACAAGAAGCTCAAAAATCGAAGATTTTTTTTTTTTTTTTCTATCCCAATCCCACACTCACTTAGGTGCGTGCTTCTACTTCTATATTAAGAAGATTATATATATATATATATATATATAATTCTCCGATCATACACATACATCATTGGATCTAGATTACAAAATGTCATTTTAATTCAATGTAATGAATCAAATGGTGAAGATACAAGAAGTAATTCCAAGAATTTTGTTTCATTGTTACTGTAGGTTTTACATAATCATTCGGCTCATATAGATATTTTTTCAATATAACATAAGTTATTGAAAGAATCTTGACGACTCAGCAAAGCACGAAAACATCAAAACACTAAACGATCAAATATAAAGACAATTTTTGGTGCTAGTTATCCAATTACAGAAACGATCCCATAGGCGTTTGCTTTCGCGTCTCCCTAAAATTACAGTCACGGTAAAATTTTGGTTTATTTAATTATTTGGGACTCTCAAGCAAGGTTTTAAAACTCGACCCGGGGGTAACCCATTCAGGCAACCAGGTCACTGTTTAACCGGTTTAACCAATGGTTTGACAAGTTTAAAATTTAGCAAACATACCCCTAATAAATACCATCAAACCCTATAGGTTTGAAATCTAGCAAACACAATCCCTGGCCAAATCAAATTGGCGATCAACTGGGAGAGCGGTGGCGACACACTAGGGAGGGTAGATCGGCTGATGGGAAGGACGAATCGATAGCTGGCAAGTTGAGGCATCGCCGGAAAGTGGCAGATCGGTGGTGGAAGTCAAACGGTTGCAGTGGTTTTTTTTTTTGCAAGATGAATGTGGATCTTCGTGAACGACGACAAGAGAGCTTGGGAGAAGGTAGATCAGTGGCTGAGGAGGCTTATTGATGTCAGAGAAGGCACGATCGACGCCAGGAAATGGAAGAAGAATTGTTGGACGACGAAACATCGCGTGCTGGCGGGAGATGAAGCGTCACGGCCCCGGAGAAAGTCAGAAAGTGGTTTCCAACAACAAGGGAAGGTGGAAGGTCACCGAAAAAAGGGGAGTCATCATCGGAAAGTGGGAGGTCATCACCGATTTGCATTTGGCAAGAGGGTGTGTTTGTTAGATTTCAAACCTTCATAGACTGATGTGTATTGATTAAGAGTGTGTTTGATAGATTTTAAACTTGGAACAGTTGAAAGGGTAACCCAACCCAGAGAAGGCCTCGAGTCCCGATCCAACCAACCGAGTCAGTTTGATTTTTAAAACCATGCTCTCGAGCACACAAATTCTCCATAAATAGATAACTTAATACATATATACATGTATATGATTGGCACATATCTTTGTGTTGTACGGTATCATAACCCTAAATCCTAATCCTTAATGCTGTCCACGTTCAATGGGAAGATTAATAGAATCATTAACATTAAAGTTAATTTGTAATTAATCCATCCACTATCTAACCCGCATTTATACCTTAACTTTTCATGTTACTGTTATTTTTAATTTGATTAACATTAAAATATAATTATAAATTGTTTGAAGCGTCGGGGTATCCAACGGTCCCAGGCACTGACTCCCAGCCTGTTAGGGTAGGGTCAAAGTGAGGATACCTCGTAATAATAAAATAAAGAACAGAATAAGAATAGGGGTTTTATCCACGCGACTGAAATGAGCGTAAAGGCATTGAACAATGAACATTAAAGCTATTGTGGCGGCTCACACTGATATTTTTTTTTTTTTTTTTTTTTCGTTATGAGGTCATTAACCGTTACTTTAAAAATCCCACTACACAAATGCCCCATCAATGATCAATCTACACCCACACCAACACTCTATATAAACCAAACTCCCACTTCATAAATTAACCCAAAAAAGGAAATAAACATCTCTCTACCTTAAGAACTTACTCAAAATACTTCTTATTTTCTCTTTTTTTTTTTCAATGGAAACAAAGGTGGATTGTTTTTGGGTTTTGGCTCTTGCTTCCAAATGCAAAACTTTCTCGTCTTCCCAAAACACCTTTTATTTTTTTATCTTTCTTTGCATGGCTTGGCTAGCCATGGCTTTTTGCTACTGGTCTTACTCTGGAGGCCCCGCCTGGGGTAAATACTGGCTCAAAAGAGGAATCAAAGCTAGGACAATACCCGGACCTCGAGGCTTCCCGATACTTGGAAGCATCACCCTCTTGATCAACCTGGCTCACCACAAGCTGTATGCAGCAGCTGAATATTTCAGAGCAAAACGGCTCATGGCTTTTAGCGTCGGTGACACTCGTGTTATTATTACGTGCAATCCTGACGTGGCTAAAGAGATCCTAAACAGCTCTGCTTTTGCTGACCGTCCAATTAAAGAGACTGCATATAGTTTAATGTTCAACCGAGCAATAGGTTTTGCTCCTTACGGAGTTTACTGGCGAACGTTAAGAAGGATCGCTGCGACTCATCTGTTTTGTCCCAAACAGATTAGTTCTGCTGAGTCACAGAGGTTTGATATCGCCTCCCAAATGGTGTCGGTCATTGCATGCTGTGGCGGAAAGTTTCGCGTACGTGATATACTGAAGTGGGCTTCACTTAATAACATGATGTGTTCAGTGTTTGGTCGTAAATATCATCTACGTTGTTCGAATAATAGTGAAGCTGATGAACTAAGCCGGCTAGTTGAAGAAGGTTACGAGCTGTTAGGCAAGCTCAATTGGTCTGATCACCTTCCATGGCTTGCAGCTTTTGACCTCCAAAAAATCCGGTACAGATGCTCGAAACTTGTCCCGAAAGTGAACCGGTTTGTGAGCCGGATTGTTCAAGAACACAAGAACCAAACCGACCAAAAGAGCAATGATTTTGTGGATGTTTTGCTCTCTCTTCATGGACCCGATAGATTGTCAGACGATGATATGGTTGCGGTTCTTTGGGTAAGCTACAAACAAACTTGCCATGACAACATTTTATAATTCATTTGTGATTGTCTATATTTTGTTTCCTTTTGCATGGTGTTTGGCTGCTGGGAAATGACCGCAAATTAGTTAATAAATAATGGAATTTTATAATGGTAGTTTGGCTTGAACTGGCTGTTCAGATTCCTGGTTTCTTGGTAACCAAATCGTACAATTATTTTCTTTTATTAATATTAATGACTTTCTTAATCACGTTAATTATTGCAGGAGATGATATTTAGAGGGACGGATACTGTCGCAGTTTTGATTGAGTGGATACTCGCGAGGATGGTACTACACCCTGACATCCAATCAAAGGTGCATGATGAGCTTGATAAAGTTGTGGGAAGATCACGGCCGTTGACTGAAGCTGATATTCAATCAATGGTATACCTGTCAGCAGTAGTAAAGGAAGTTCTAAGGCTGCACCCACCCGGCCCACTTTTGTCTTGGGCCCGTTTAGCAATTACAGACACCATAGTCGATCGCTATCAGGTGCCTGCAGGGACCACGGCTATGGTTAACATGTGGGCCATAACGAGGGACCCAGATGTGTGGGTGGACCCTCTGAAGTTCATGCCAGAGAGGTTTATGTGTCAAAATGCTGGTGACGTGGAGTTTTCAGTCATGGGCTCTGACCTCAGGTTGGCGCCATTCGGATCGGGTCGTAGGGCGTGCCCGGGAAAAGCGTTGGGTTTGGCCACGGTGACCTTCTGGGTAGGAACTTTACTGCATGAATTCAAGTGGGTGGAATCGGATGATAACCCGGTGGATCTTTCCGAAGAGCTAAGGCTTTCATGTGAAATGAAAAACCCACTCACCGTTAAGGCGCAGCCAAGGCGTAGGTAGATAACTAAGTTTAAGCATTTCCTTAATTATGTTACTGTGTGGATCGTGAGAGTGTGGTATTTGCTTTATAGTCCTATTATATATATTAACAACTAACAGTTTGGATATTGTAAATATATATGTATGTATATATTCGAATGATATGGAAATAAAATTTGTTGATATATACCAGATCTGAATACATGGTAAGTGGATTCTTATAGGTATTGTTCACTTTAGGTCTCGGGGCTATATGATTGTCCTTAAAAGGTGCCTTTAGGGCTTAGACACTAACAAAATTCAACAATAATTAGTTAAAAAAAATGGGAATTTTTCATTTATGAAAAGGGTATTATCTCAAAAATTGAATTGGATGAGCCATGGGATATTCGAAAGTATTCATAGGGTTAGGGGTATATCCATTCCTTTTGGCACAACAAAACTTAACAATGAATAATAATATCTGGGTTTGATTAATATATATGTCGGAACGTACGTACGAAAGACGCACAACATGAACAAGTGGGAGAAAGCACGTGAGAAGCACGTGGATTGAAAAGTGTCTTACATGGGACTGGGGATAAGTATGCTCAAAAAAACATGCACCCCCGAAACATAGATTGCAATCTAGCATGCTTTGTCTGCAACAATAAAAGTTGAAGTTGGCCAAGTCGTCATCCAGATAAAATCGAGTTCTTTGTGTCGACATTGCAAGAAAAATACAAGATTCAGTTATATGCAACTATGCATGGTTGTCTTTTGGCCTCAACACATTTCTCATACGTCGTAATTTTGACAAGCCCTACAGATTATAAAGTTTGAACACTCCAAATGAATTGGCACTAGCAGTATCGAGGTGTAGGATTTGCTAAACTTCAATTTGTTTTTTAACGTACTTGTCACACGTGCTCATGTCTCTTCTTGGACCATAGTCCATACATGAGGATCAAATTAGATTTTTTGTTTTGCCAGATCATATATACTTCTTGTGGTTAATAAAAGAGTATGTATTTAGCCAGGAACACATTGTCAGTGGTGGCTGTGCTCACTGCAGATTTCTGTGGCTATGCATCTGTACATGGTTAAATTATTACTGAAAAGACTTCAAGCGTGTGAGAGTAACGAAATGAAATACTCCAGTCGGCAAAAGTATTTTGTATTATTGAGTTTGATTCCCCAGTCTATTAATAGTTACTAGGCATGCTGAGATATTGCGTTTGCAGCCCAGAAGAGAAAGATAAACTGATAAAGTTATATTGATCAAACACTTTCTTCTGGCTAAATCTTCCTTCGATTTTTTTTTAGCTCCAAGCTTGAAAATTTTGCATGAGGGTATTTTGGAATGGTTTGAAACCTTTTCTGCCTCTGAAAGCTTATATTTGTAGTATATATATTAAAAGCTCATCCCACTATATGTTCAGACTTTGTAACACAGATACTAACTTATATGATCTTGGTTAACAGCAAAATAAACAACTGAAAACAACCAGCTTCAGATTTCATCATCATCTTTACATGAGGTAACCCTAGATATCAGAGATTTGATCAGTTCTTAAACAAACCCAAGTCCTGCATCCTAGAAAGTGCCTTTTCAAATTGGCTCCATTTCTGCTCGATTGTCCCAATGAATCCAATTGACATCCTAACCAAGCCTGGTGAAATCCCAGCCAGGGCTTTTTCTTCAGCGTTCATTTCACTACTAGTGCTGCTACCAGAGCAAGACATAAGGGTCTCATAGTAGCCCAAGCTAACCGCCATGAACCCAAACTGAGTACAGTTTTGCAAGTAGTTCATCAACCGGTTGGCTCTTTCTTCGGTTTCCATGTCTACACAAAGAAGCCCACCAAACCCATATTCTTTGTTGGCCATGGACTTTAAGAGCTTGTGCTGTGGGTGTTCTTCGAGACCTGGGTAGACAACTTTCAGGCCCAGCTTCTTCATTCTTGTGGCATAAGTCATTGCTCGGTGGCAATGCTCTTTCATTCTGAGGCTTAGATGAGGAATTCTCTCAGACAGTTCAAATGCAACTTTCGCATTCATTGTTGGGCCTAGTAGCATCAGGGCTCCTTGGTGAAGGTCCATCATAGAATTTACCAGGCTTGCAGGTCCACAAACAGCCCCTGAAATATAAAAAGGATAGCGTCCATGACGTGTTAATCTGAAGAATTACACAAGGCAACAAAGAGGAATATTCCACGCTAATAAGGCTGTGGGACATACAAACAAATATTAAAGAATATTTTCACTATAAAAATGTGCGAATATCTAAGCAAAGTTCCAATTTAATTCGAAAAAATCTAGCATATTATATGTATTATATGAATCTTATCAGAGATGTTACTGTTAAAACGTGTTACATATTTTTGTTTTAATAGTAAGTGTTCGAATTAATTTGTGCGTATTTCTCGAGACCAATAAACCTTTTAGTGATCACTCCTATTAGAAACGAAAAAAAATTAAATTAAAGACTTTTTTATTAATACACCCGAAAGTCTTTGTCGATCCATCTTAAATAATAATTTAACAAACGGTTCTGACTCGTGTCACAATATTATTAACCAAATTAAAGGTAAGTCCTTATCAAACCCAGTTTCAAATTGAAATGGACTCAAGTGCCAAATTGCTATCAAGTATAAACTTTATCCAGTAAAAAACAAGAAGAAGATAAAAATTCGAATCATATTTAAGATTCTATCAGTACGAAATAATCCCCCACGATAAAGCATCCTTTATCAATACCTAAATCTTAGCACTAAAATAGTAATATTGGTAGATAAGGACATCACGGTTGGCACCGTTCAATGATTCACGGGACTAAAAAACTCACCACATAAAAAACTTTAATGTCTGCTGTACTGGATTTACTCTAAAAAAAGGTTAGAAATTTTCAATAATTATCGTATTATTTACTGCCATCGTCGTCGTTTATGGAAGTTTTTTCCAGAAGTTACGGACGTTAAGATCTAAACACGTGCATGGTGGACAAATTTTACCTGCAATAATGTCGGCCCCGCCACTAATGAACTTGGAGATACTGTGAACCACCACGTCAGCTCCCAGCCGAGCCGGCGAGAGCACCATTGGAGCAAATGTGTTGTCGACCACCACCGTCACTCCCTTGTCGTGAGCTATACGGCTCAGCTCCGGTATGTTCGCCACCGTGAGTGTGGGGTTCGACATGGACTCGAAATATAACACATTGGTTTTCCCTTCGACGATTTCATTTTGAACCATCTCCAGTTTGTTGATGTCCACGAACGTCGTCGTTATGTTGCAAGCTCTTGGCAAGAAGTGGGTCAGTAGTGCGTGGGTTCCACCGTAGAGTGTCCTTGATGCCACCACGTGTCCTCCACTGCTGCATAGTTGCATCAACACAGACGAAATTGCCGACATTCCTGCATCTCATAAAAAAAATTTACAATCACGATCAACAATTCTTGTGTTAATTAAAGATTCTAACTTTTGATAATTAGATTCAGATTATGAATTAAGATACCGCTGGCAGTGCAATAGGCGGCTTCGGTTCCTTCGAGGGCGGCCATCTGACGGCCGAGGTTTAAGACCGTGGGGTTAAAGTGACGGCTGTAGATGAAGAAATCGCGATCAGGGCCAAGCTCGCCGGTGAACATACGGCGCATGGTCTCCGGCTCCATCACCGTGAAGGTAGCGGAAGCTTCGATAGACATGTTAACGCCACCGTGTTCACCAAACTCGTGGCGGGCACTGGCAAATGCAGCAGCAGGGTCTTCCCAAGTGGGTGGGACACCTGATGACAACATTGATTTCTTGGAGATGAAATGATCATCACCGTCGAAATCATCGCGGCCAGATCTTTTCTTGCCAGGGAAAACAAAGCCATTGGTTTTGGTTTCGGCCATCGAAGGAGAAAATCAAGAAAAAAGCTAGGAGAAATTGATGCTTTCTGAGGGAGAGAAGGGTTGGAACTTGGAATGAGTTGGTTGAAGAAGGTGGTGGCCAAGGATGCTATATATATACATAGAGAGTAACGAGGGTGAGGGTTTGGCTTATCAATTTGTTGAATAATATATGAAATACTATGGATATGACATTGATGACCTAAAACTCTGTGATTATGTACAGTGAATCTGGTCGTTTTAACGGGCCATTGACAGTAGAAATAAAATCCTTACTTAAGTTGCTAATTAAATTGTTTGATGATAATCTAGGAATAATTTTGTTTATGAACCCAAAAATATGGGAGTCGAGTCATAAATTATATTTAATTATTTTATCTAATGAATATTAATTAAAATTTTAATAGAGGGGTTAATTTAGGCAGCATACGTTAGCGAGATTGCGTCTGACATTACAGGAGTTGTGCATGTCTTGTCGTTTCTGGCTGCTGCGTGGTCCTCAAACTATCCACTTCTGCCACTTGAGCCCTAACTCTTCTAACCCTTTGTACACGTACATGACCCCATCTTTTCCCGATGAAAATCACATCCATTAAGTGATATATATTTCAGGTTTAATTAATTAATTAATTTTTTTTTGGTAATAGGGTGTTTGGATTAATCCGTGTATACTTTAACTAATCTTTGAAATCTATTAAACATTAGAAAATCAAATAAATCATAATATTATTGTGATACGTGATCTTAAGATTTAAACTCATAAATTCAAAGAAATTTCAAATCAATTTAATCGTCAAACTAAGCCATTTGAGATTATATTTCAGATTTACTTGTTCATCTTGACTCTTCCCACGGCATTTTTCTGCCTTAATTTACATGTGTTTCCGGGGGAGACTTATTAAAAACATGACTCAACTCTTGCTTTGAACAAATCAAACAAACCAAATGTGTAAGAGTAATGTCTATTCAATATGCATTAAGGGATTCTGTAAATGGCTGTTCAGACTTTAGCTTAAATTCAGATGTATCTATCTCTAGCTCAGACTATTAATATAATTATGTTCGAATAATATAATTGGTCCCAGCAGTAGGATAAGGCTTAATCGTAATCTATCCACTATATAAAAGTCTAAGAAATCTTCATCCTAATCCGCACTTACCGTGAGATTAATTGGAAATGATCAGCTCATTTCTTCCTACAGATTGGTCAACATATTAAACTCAATAACATCCTTTTCCCTCCACCGTTCCTCATATTATCTCTTATATCTTATCCTCCAAAGGTGAGGGAACTCCACTGCTTTTATCATGCGGACACCACAAAGAGTGAGGAAATTTAATACGTACCCACTGCGAAAACTTGTCCACAGAATCCGACAGATTTTACTCATTAAAGCAAAACAATTATAGTTATATAGATACAGTATATCACATGCTGCATAAGTACGGATTTATCATTTTATCTTTCACAGATCGACATGGACATCATATCTGCCCAGATAAACCTAAACCCATCTCATGAATTTTGTGGTGGCTACCTGAGTTCATTTCATTAATTCTGTGGACCTCTGGAAGATTGTAGAAATTTTTTTATATGCACATTTGATGTAATATGTCGTGATTTGTGAAAGATTTTTAATTATTATTAACTTTGAAATTCTAATTTTCTACAAAATTATTATTATTACAGTATTTGATTTATATGGAGATGAAAAAGAGGGTGAGAAAATAACATTTTCTCTTGCGTTGTCTTCAATCTGTCAAATTAATGGCGACTCAAGCTGACGCTTTCTGCTTATCGTCTTCCATGTGTATTGGATTCTTGACCTTGAAGACCTGGAATCGGACAAACAACATATGAGAAGTAGGACCCCATTTCACAAAACAACAAACATCCATCCACCCATTCCATTTCATAATCATAATCTCATTCAATAAGAGTAGTGCCAATTTATGTGAGCCCCATTCATTCATCTTTCTATTATGACCCTCTTAATTAAATATATTATCTCCACTCATTCTTCATCCCATTCCCCCACTCAGGAATTTTCTTTAGATTCTTGTAATCCATTTACTCCTTGTTCCAATTTAAATATTCAAGGGTGGGTTTTTTTAATCCTGATATACTATTCGTCAAGTTAGTGAGTTGTTTGATGTTCAAGTTTTACAGAAATTTTAGTGATCAAATAGAATTTGAACAGCTCAATATGTTTTCTATTTTCAGTCTTCTAGCATTCTTCCAAAATGTCGTCCAAATTCATGCACTATTTCCCACCCAAAATTTAAGCGAAAATTTTGACTAAAGCTACAGTAATGTATAGAGATGAAATCACGTCAATATTAGTAGTCGAATGGCATTTGAAATTTTGAACCGTGTTGTAATTGTATCCACCAGTTTTCTTATAGATTGGGTGAAGTAACAATGTGAGGACGAAACTGTTGGAAATCAAAAGTCAAAACAAAATTATCCAAATCAAGGGATTTAATCTGAATATTTGTGATAAAGAAGACCAAGAACCCAAAAAGTCGTATGAATGGGTGATCAAAACCTGCATTAATTTTGGATACTGATATTGCTTTCCACGTAATAATTTCAACAATTGAGGGTTGATCTTCCTCAATTCACTGGTTCATCAATTTCATAAAACCATTTCTTTACATCAATTTCATGAACATGAATGTAACTTTCGACTATGCTCTATATGCATGTCTTAAATTCATGATGCAGAGTGTAATGTTCTCCTAAATATAGATTGAATGAATGGAGATTAAATTATATTTTATCTATTATGTTTGACTCAATCGTAAATGTATTAATGAATCATTTTTCCAGCTATACTTCAAGTTGATGCAAGCCTTCTGAACTTTGCTGGACATCTTTCAGGTCACTACGAGATGCACTAGCTTCAGATGAGCCTCTTTCTAGATGCTCCAGGAAATCCATCACCACAGGATCAGTCCAAGGGGCTCCAAGTGGAGCTTCTGCACCCGCCACCCACCCTAGATGACCACCTTTGGGTGTCACTATTAGCAAACAATTCGGATTTGCCTGAGACAACAGGTGACATAATTTATTAGAAAATCATAAGGGAGAAGTGAATCGATATATAAAACTACTTGCTTCTAAAGCAACCACAAGGGAAAATGACAAAGGATGTAAAGGCACAATACCCATATGATGTCATTTGATCAAAAGATATATATATATACCCCTTAGGGGAGGTTTGGTTGGGGTTTAGGTGAGATTACTAGGGTTAAATCATCTTATTTTACTTGATTACTATGTTTGGTTGTCAAGTAATATAAGATACTGGTAATCTTCAAATACCAATAGTAATTACTATTAGTAATATTAAAGGTAATCTGATTACCTCAATTTTCTTAGATATTATAAGATTATCAAGGTTATCTTTTTTTGTTACAATTCTATCCCTTATTAATAAAATTTTAGGACAATAATGTCCTTATTTTTAAAATTATTTACATAAATATGACTTTTACTATTTCACCCAAATTAATTAACTTTATGGACAAAATTATCCTAGAATTCAAAACAAATTACAACCCACCCAAGCCACCACCCCCACCCACCTGCCGCGGGCAACCACCGCCGCGGCTAAAACGACGCACGAAAGGCCAAAAATGGCAGCCGTACGCCGATATGGTCATTTCCTGCCTTCTGTGCGTTGTTAGATTACCAGCTACCAACGGTGGTTTCCGACGGCCGACAATGGCTTAGGTTGGTGAGGGTGCTTTGTTAATTTTCCAAACTTTTATTATAAGGTTGTTTTTGCTAAGTTTTTAAATGCAGGGGTTATAATAATCCAAATAATAATCATTATTAAAAAATAATATAATAATAATATTTAATTAGAGGACAATTCAGTAATTTAAATAACATACTCACCAATTCCTCCAAACGAAACATATTAATATAACATACTCACTAATTAACCAAACATATTTTCTTAAAGATTCTCAGTCATCTTCAAGGTAATCTAACTTTCTAGTAATCCAATATTCCTAGTAATCCAACATTCCCTGAACCAAACGACCCCTTAACATCTTGTGATTACATGGAGTATATAAAAAGAGTTAGGTCTATAATCCAAAACGGAACAAAAATGGGATATACTTATTTCAATTCCCAAATACGTTTTTCAAATTCTGTGAATCCAAATTATGAAATTAATAGGCCACTTCATAGCTTAACCATGTTATACTTGGATGTTCATTAGCAGAACGTATCCACTTAATAACTCAAACAGAGAGAGCAACTTTCCCTATTTTCCATCGGTTGACGTATAACACTATAAAAAGCCTGATGATGCAACCAGATTGCCTTGTAAACTGTGAGCCATGAAGCAGTTTGGGAAAAAAGCTTTTATTTACTGGAGAGCTGGAAAAGTAAACGTTTTATCATAGTGATTTAACATAGGACACTGGACAAAGCTACATGGTGAAAACAATCTGCCCCCAGTAAACAATGATCCATGAATAGTTTGGAAATAAGGCTTTGTTTATAGGAAAGCACCCTACATACCTTGATATCTTCACGAGGAATTCCCCTAGAAGGAGCAATTGGATCATTGTCAGCCTGAAAACCATGAAGAAACATATTAATTTATAGATATACTCGTGCACTCTGTTCTAGCATTGCCTTGATGAACTAAATACCATACAATATCCATGAACTAAATATCAACATATCTCACTTAGTTAGGAGAGCCAATCCAGTTTGGTTGAAGCACCAAAAAAAAAAAAAAAAAAAAAAAAAAAAAAGAAAGAAAAGTATTGTAACTTGAGAAGGACACAATTATTGTCATAAAATCAAAGTTGCAAGTCCCTGGCACTAGTCATAAAGGTAAGCAGAGAGTCTAAACCAAAACAGTATGCACCGGGACCTGAAAACCAGCTTAAGATGCCATCTAAATTGCCATGGTTATTGGTTTTTTTATCTAATCTCATAACCTCTCAAACTAGATACCCTCACCTAGAGAACATAAAAGACACCAAGGCAGCACCATTTTCCTCTTCAATTTACTTATATATATATATAATTGCAATAAAATGCCAATGCAAGTGTATTGTTAATAATGTAAAGAAACAGCCCCAGATATTCCTAGAGCTATATGGACCATAAATCATATAACCTTACAAGCAACTAATAACCAGTACAAATTGTTACAAAGTTCTGCCTTGCCTACAGCATTCAGAAAATATTTCTGTCAAAATGGCACTAGCATGGTACCTGGATGCACAGCAAAGGAATTCGAACATGTTTTATGGAATCAGAACTGCTTGAATTAGAGTAGTAGTCATCCACTGACTTGAAACCAAACGAAACTGCAAGGTGTTGTGGAGAGCAATAAGATGATTGCCCACATAACAAATCCATCAGCCCCAATGGACAAAAACAGCAAAAATTCCTTTCATGTGGAAGAAACACCTACCACGAGTCAATCCTTCATCAAACTCCCGGACAGACTTGGCATTGGCAGCCAATGGGATGTTATATTCACCATCCATGTCTTCAAAGAGAAGAGCATGCCTGTAAAAACAATAGATTCTGATAATATTTTCTACAAATAGAACAATCAAGTTTACACTAAAATGAAGTGGCCAGAGAAAATTATATATAACATTACTTCTTGAAAATTCTACAGAGTGCACTAGCAAGAGCTTTGTCATAAACATTGTTAAAGCCCTTATGGAAGTCTTCATCTGCAATGACCAAATTGAATGGATTACACAAAGACACGGCACCAGAAAGGCGGCAATCATGAGATTCCTGCAACACATAACTAACTATGAATAAAACAGAAACTGTAACATAAATTAAAAACTAAAATGGGAAAAGAAAATAAATCCATTACCTGACCCAAATAACGAACAAGAATATTGGCCCCAAGAGACCAACCAGCTGCATATAAATTAGCTTTTGGGTATCTACTGGCAACATGTATCACAACTTCATGCATGTCTCCTAAAAATGAAGCCGAATAGAACTGCATTATATCAGTGCCATGAAAATAATCACATTCCTTACAAAACATCTAAAAAAATTAAACTTAATAAACATCAATACGAAGAAAATTAAGTGGTACCTGGGAAGTGGTTACAGGACTCTCTCCACAACCTCGACTGTTGAACACCACAGCACGCCATCCTTTCCTTCGCGCTCTAACTAACATGTGCCTCACGTATGTATCTTGACTGCCCCCAGTTAAACCTGGCTGAAATTCAATAATTTCACATGGTTAAAGATTGTAATGGGCTTTGAAGAATTAATCCAAACAGAGGAGAGGACTAACCAGTAAAATAAGGAGGGGAGAATCGGGAGGCAAGCGTTGGTGGTCTCCAGAGACCCAATCGAGAGCGACGGAGCCGTCGTCTTTGGTGCGGAGACACTCTCGCTTGAGTCTAACGTCAGGCTGAGACCGAAAGAACGCGGCGAATATGGTCTCCACGTGGCAGTTCCAGCCAATTATAGGAAATGGAGTATAGGGACGGTCTCCCAGTGAGCTGAGAGCGGGCAGGAACGCTACACGTGCGCCGCCCGTGACTTCCAGTGAAGGATAGGGATGTATGGACATTGTTTTGGTGGTTACGTGGCTAGAGCAGACTGGGCGGAGCTTGAAACAGAGGTTTTGGAATGCCATTCTGGGTTTACATATAATCCATAGCTATTGGCTACAGCCTATTCTGAATAAGTGGAAGTGGAAGCGTACACGAAAGGTCCTCACTTTTGAGGTGCGCTTCCGTCAGCGACCTCTATGTCGTACATTAATAATATAACCAAACGCATTGTCGTTGTTTTGTGATTTGACATGTTTGCTGTGTCGTATAGTCAACAAGTCAGACTAGATGTTAGTTGAAACCTAAAATGTCTTTTACATGAGAAAACAAACAGAAAACTTGGCACAATGAAGAATCCATTAATCTCTGCAACACCTAATTTCTTATGCTTCAACCATTCTATATTATTGCTTTCACATTTATTATATCTTACGAACTGTAAAGACATCAGACTTTCATTGATTAATGAACAGAAATTACAAATAGAAAGTATCACAGAATATGATCTTCAAGTATTGATAATAATTAAAACAAAAAAGAACCTTATTAAATCAATCAAAATTGAAAGAGTTTCATTTATCGGCTTTGTTCTCCAAATACTTTTGCTTCTCCTCATCCGTCATGAAAGCTGTGAGAGGAAAAGATTTTCCAATCCCCATTGGAGTCTTGAAATAAATCTTATCACTTGATGGATCTTCAATGCTCATCTCAGTAATTGGCACCCACAGAAAAACCTGTTTGCTTTTAACGCCAGTCATTTTTTTCATCTTAAACTTCTCTATATATGCAGTCACTTCTACAGCATAGCTTACTCGAGAATTACTCCCAGTGAAAAAATGCTCATATGGAGCCTTTTGTTTCATCCAAACAAACCCGGTTTCTCGAACTCGTCCACACTCTTCAAGGTCTTTCAATGGAAGAACACCTTTTGGGAATCCCAGTTCTTCCAGTAGCTCTACAGAGTGGCGATAGCACTCTTCGGGTCCATGCACAATCTCTGCGCCTGCACGTTCTTCTCTTGATTTGTTACTACTACTAGCCATAGTTATAACTATGAATGTGTTTTAGAGTTGAGTAACGGGGATCAAATATATATATGGAGAGTAAATTTACAGAAGAATTAATGGTTGTTTGATGTAGGTTGAGCTGAATTCGATTGTTCAATAGAGTGGTTCACCTAATGGCTGGCCATTGCCACGCGTAGTTGGTGTTGAGTTCACCTAAATTTCGTATACGGACCATTTCTTTGCTTTCATTTGTTTGGTTTACATGATTGGTTTTCTTTCATGGCGGGATTTGGACGGTGCAAGTAATGTCGAGTCTAATTTATCATTTTTTTCCCTTCTCTCAACTGTAGCACTAATAATTAATAAAGGTCAAGAAGGAAAATAAAGTTATTAATAATGCACTCCATTACATTAAAGAAGGAAGGGATATTTTGTCAAAAATAGGGTGCACTGATCGATAGAAAAGGGAAAGAAAATACTCCCACTGTACTAATATGTGGCTACAGTTGTGAAAGCAATAAATGTTTTCCTAATCTATGACTTTTTTGTCCACAGTGAATTTTTCAACTCCTACCCTATCCCACACACACACCACAGTTTGGTTATTTCAATTAATTTTGGGCGGTTGAATGGTTTGATTAGAATTCAGAGTTTGAGTTTTTTCTCGACTTCTAGTAAAGCTAATACTAAAATTTTTATTATTAGATAATTTTAGGGTTTCGAAGATTAATTGAAATACGAATTCTAAACACCCAAGTTAAGAAAAAAAAGTTTGGTTATTTCTTGTCTCACAAGATCTCGATAAGAATGAAAAGTCACTTATTTCATTAGCCCCAACTGATTTGATTTATAAGTTTCATGGCATTTTTCATGAGTTCCCAACCAATTCAGGTCACACTCAGGCTTCTTGAGCAATCAAGATAAACAAAGATAAACAGATTTTAATAATCTTTGAGGGAGGGGAAAAACAAAGGAGAAAGATACAAAAACAAATACTAAAAAAGAAGTCATTATTTAGCATACTAAATCCAAAAACAAGTTCCGGCATAAGCATCTGCAGCTATAGCTGAGAAAAGATATTGAAAACATGGGTTCAAATCATCAAATATTTTGTATAAAGTATTCACCTTTCTTACTCTCTGGTATGACTAAAGCTGATAGATTCTTTTCACACAGTTTTGTATATTGTCACTATAAACGAAAAATAAAAGAAAAAGTTTGTAAAAGAAGCAAAAGAAAAAGAAAAACGGGAATAATTACAGTGAGTGACTCTGGGGTTGGGTTTTAATCTTTTCAACTCCCACCACACAAACCCTTTGTGCTTTATTGTCCCACAAGATCAGCAGTATGCAGTTATATCATATCTGAATCCGCACTATCCTCTAAATGATGATGATTCATGAGTAAATGAGATTTTTAGTTTTCCACTCATCCTGGTCCATCATGATGTAACAATTCATAAGAACAAAAGACGTTCTGGTAACAACTGGTAAGATTAGCAGATGTGTTTATGCATTAAATCAGAAAAGAACTTTAACTCAAGAACTCTCAACAACATCATGGTGAAGATTCCAAGTAGGGTCTAACCATAACTACCAGTGGGTCCTTTGAGTTTCATTAAAAAAAGAAGAAAAAAAAAAAAAAAAAAACAGTTGAAATGGGTTATAGTAGCAAGCATCATCATCCTCAACGAACCTTTTAATAATAATAATCTTGACCAAAAACTAATGTAAAAATAATATTTTCATAAACATCTCACCGATTAAAACTGAATATAAAATATAAAGCTGAAATGCTGAATCCTCATAGTTCATGTGAGTGCTTTTTGATNGTAAATGAGATTTTTAGTTTTCCACTCATCCTGGTCCATCATGATGTAACAATTCATAAGAACAAAAGACGTTCTGGTAACAACTGGTAAGATTAGCAGATGTGTTTATGCATTAAATCAGAAAAGAACTTTAACTCAAGAACTCTCAACAACATCATGGTGAAGATTCCAAGTAGGGTCTAACCATAACTACCAGTGGGTCCTTTGAGTTTCATTAAAAAAAAAGAAGAAAAAAAAACAGTTGAAATGGGTTATAGTAGCAAGCATCATCATCCTCAACGAACCTTTTAATAATAATAATCTTGACCAACAACTAATGTAAAAATAATATTTTCATAAACATCTCACCGATTAAAACTGAATATAAAATATAAAGCTGAAATGCTGAATCCTCATAGTTCATGTGAGTGCTTTTTGATTGTAGCAGAGGGAAAAGCAAAAGCATTAAGCATGTGGTCCGGCATAAATGAGTGCTTTGTCTCTCCATGGTTTCTTCTTACTTCCTTCAAAAACTAAAATTATTTTGAGTGCCATGTGATCTAATCCACCTTCATTCCACTAAACAAAACAATTACCCAACTTGTCTTTTTGACTTTGGGTTTCTCTTTTTTTCCCTTTCGATGTCTCTTTTCTTGTGTTGTCTTCAAGGCTGATGGAAGATGATGATTTTCAGAGAAAAATTTGAACTTTAATTAATCAAGAATTATTAATTAAAAAAAGAAAACGTGGAAATGAAGTTAGGTGAAATCGGGTTGTAATGGGCCGGGCCAAAAAGCCCAAGTCAGCGGGATTCCAGTCATCTCGGTCTACTTTTCTCACTAACAGAGATAATAATAATAATAATGGTGGTAATCAAAGCTCACATAGGTCATAGGTAGATGAAGAGAGAGAGAGAGAGAGATAATAATAATAATGGTGGTAATCAAAGCTCAGATAGGTCATAGGTAGAAGAAGAGAGAGAGAGAGAGAGAGAGATTAAGATTGTTGAATGAGAATAAAAAAACAATATTTTGGTTGCTGGATAAAATTACTTGCTTTCATGGAAAGAGAGTAAAGACTCATAAAAATATAAATAAAAAGAGAGGAGGGGATTTTAGTTTGGTGATGGTGTTAGCCATATCAGGCGTCAACAAGGATCAGGACTTAACCGTAATTTTACTGTTGATGCTCATGCTCACCACTGGAAACGGTGGAAAATGGATCACGTTCGCCCAAGGTAGCGGTACCGGTACCGGAGGAGGAGGCGGAGGTTTCTGGTATTCGGCTGCTCCTACTTCCAATGTCGGAATAGCCATCGCCGTGACGGCCATGGCCGGTCTTGCCTTGGCCGCCACCGTCTTATACTCTCATAGGTAACAAAAACACAAAAATTAATCCAAAATTAGAAATTTGTGGAAAGCAAACGAATCTAGATATTGTTGCCTTGTTAGTTGTTAATTTTACGTAGTAGTTAAATGTTAACTGAACATAAACCATTAATGAGAGCCCTACGGAGAAGTCACACGTCTTCTTCTTCGTCACCGTCATCATCTTCAAATCCCTCTTCATCACAGTCATCGTCTTCGTGGATTCATCTGCGATCGGTTCTATTAGTAGTTGCTTCTTCATCATCGTCATCATCATCATCTTCCTCACCAGTTACCACTGATCGGTGAGTTTCCATTCTTGTCTACTTCTTCTTTCCTGTTTTATTTTTACAAATAAAATTAATTTATCGTTCCGACTTTCCTTTCTATTCTGTGCTAAAACTAGAAAACAAAAATACTCTTTTTGCGGTTTTTGAGATTTGGTCCCCAGATCCGATCTGAAAGCACTCGACATTTATCACTGTTTAGGTTTCTCTTTCTAGGTTCTTAACCTGTTCATTGCTTTATGATATCATATTTATATTGCTTGGAAATCTAGTCTTCAGCCTTCATTTAGAAATGCCGTAGGAGATTCTAATAACTGTAGTGTCTTTTCTTTAGCTTTCCTCCTGTTAGCTTTTTGAGTTGAAGATGAATTTTTTGGGTTTGAATTGCAGGATACGATTTAGATGTCTACTGTGATGTGTTGATAGTGTTTCAAAAAGCCCTGAATTCTGCTCCTTAGCCTCTTGGATACATAGATTAGCACAGTAGCACTCAGTTATTTTTTCCTTTCTGATCATGATGATGTTAGTACTAGTCAAAATGATTGAGCTTCTTTTGGTTAGTGTGAAAGTTGTGATTTGATTTGTTCTTTTGTTCGTGTTGTTGTGCGTAGGGTGCAATTACTCTCACCAGTTGATTATTTGCTCATTTCGACTATCCTCTTCCATGCTCACAGTTGTTAGTGTTGATGAGTTGAGAGTGTTGGTTCTTCCCGTTTGCTTTTGTTTTGTTTGCACATCTCAATGTATATGGAAAGAAGCTTGTGCTTTATCTTTTATTTTCTTTCTGTTATGAATTTCTCCAAAATTTCACTTGTCTAATGTGTATATGTGCATTGCCCATCGAAGCTTCCATTTTTTGTTCTGCATTGTTTTTCCAATTATAATTGTTATTTTCCATTCCCTTTTATGAAGATATTTATTTGTTTTGTTTCTTCTTTTTCAGGGGCACTCTTAAATCACCATGGTCACGTAGGAGAAGAAAACATGCGCTTCTCGCCAAACAATGGAAGATCTTATTTACACCAGATGGAAGACTTATTGAAGGTGGTCTCAAGTTTCTGAAGAAAGTCCGTAGTGGGGTATGTTATTAAAAAGTTGATCAGACTCACACGTCGATTTATTCAGTCCATATGATTTTCAATTGTGACCACTCTGTTTTTATCATTCTCTCTCATATTGTTGTGAGTATTCATTCTTCATTCTACAATGCAGGGTGTTGATCCAAGTATTAGAGCGGAGGTTTGGCCATTCCTTCTTGGAGTGTAATAATCTTCTTTCATGTTTAAGCTTATGTATTCTTTTTAACATTAATCATGCATGTGATACATTTATTAGTTTGATTTAGGTATAATTTTCTCTCTCTAAAGAACTTGTTTCAAATTTTTTAATAGCCTTCAGGTTAATGTGGTCCTCTAAAATTCTTGATACGTGGCACTTTGTCTAGAATGTGTGGCTTGTTATGTCCTCTTACCTTGATTCCAGTTTATTGATGTCTTCCATGATTGCATCCTTTTCCTACCCTTGTTCCAGTTTATTGATATTAACTATGATCATATTGTCTTCTCTGGTCGTCCTCTTCTAATTGCATCTAGGTGCTTTTAAATACTTATCATAGCCCCAATGTTTTTGGCTTTGGCAGGAAATTTGAGCAAATAGCTCTTTTTCTTATGAACTATAATCCTCTCAGGTGGGGTAGATTAGAGAATTATCTTGTTCTGTAAACTTTTGCATCATATTTGATATTTGTGGATATCTTTTTCTTTCTACGCATGCCCCTCGAGGTATTTCGTATTCATAATTATAAATATTCTTACTCCCTTAAAGATATTTGTTGCCTGCATTAGGAAATCATGCCATTGATTGTGCTTCGTTGTTATTTTACTGAGACTGAGTCAGAAAAAGTCCTTGTTATTCTAGTTTGGTTCTACTGAAATATGCCCACCTGCATTGTAGCTCCTCTACACGGGCTTTCTCAATTCTAGTTCCTTTCTCCAATTTCATGTTTTTTTTCCTTAAATGGAAGATGAATTTTTGGTACAGGATTCAACTGTGTTTCTGGTTATCTGCTTGAGAAAATCTTTTCCTCTGCATTAAATAGCATATGTTTTGCTTATTAAGTATTTCTTAATATCATAATATTCTTTATTTATTTATTTTATTTTTTTATTAACAGATATGAGTTAAACAGTTCCAAGGAAGAAAGAGATTCTCTTAGCACAAAGAACAGGTATAGTTATCAAGTCAATTAGCCTCTTTCTGCATACATTTTTATATAAATATCGGTCCTGTTAATTGGTGGAACAGACTGTTGCTCTACTTGATTGCTTCTCCCACCTCTCCTTTTCGCCCGTTCTAATACTTCTTATCATCCTTTTGATTTCCATTTGCACCTTGTTCCTTTAGCTAAGTTATATATCTAACTTATCAGTTGTGCATGATACAGAAAAGAATATGAGAGCTTGCGGAAAGAGTGCCGTAAAATACATCGATGCAGCTTGAAAAGTTCTAAGTTGAAGGAAACTGCAGGAAATAGCAGTAACGAGGGCAGTGGTGATTTCAGTCAAGTTCTTGATTCTCCTGGCTTTGAAGATGTGGCAAGTCCCAGGAGGTCTGTTTCCTCCGAGGGAGGAAGTCCGGCAGCTGAGGATCTATACCCCCCTTCATATGATGAGACCCCTCGGTGCTCTGGCTTATTAGTGGAAGGAGAAGGTGATAAGAGTGTAGTTACCTGTGAAGATGCATCTGCGGGTGATACTGAATCTACTGATTCTGACTCATCTGAAGAAAATGAAAATGTACCTCTACTTTCTACGGAAGAAGCTGGAGGAAGTGAAGTTCTTAATGAGAATGCGAAGGAAAATTCAAAGGAGACCAACAGTGAGTCCAAATCCCACACAGATGAAGATTTTGTCACATGGCAGAGAATCATTCGGCTTGATGCTTTGAGGGCAAATGATGAATGGATCGTGTATACACCATCTCAAGCTGCAGTGTCAGAAATTAAGGCACAACGTCTTGCCCAGGCTGTTGGCTTAAAGGATTATGATCATCTGGAACCATGCAGAATTTATCATGCTGCTCGCCTGGTTGCTATACTTGAGGCCTATGCACTATATGATCCTGAGATTGGTTATTGCCAAGGGATGAGTGATCTACTGTCACCAATTGCATCAGTTATGGAGGAGGACCATGAAGCTTTCTGGTGCTTTGTGGGTTTCATGAAAAAGGCTAGGCATAATTTCCGGCTTGATGAAGTTGGAATAAGAAGGCAATTGAGTATTGTTTCCAAGATAATCAAGGGCAAGGATATTCATCTCTACCGGCACTTGGAGAAGCTTGAAGCAGAAGATTGCTTCTTTGTGTATAGAATGGTGGTGGTTCTTTTTAGAAGGGAGTTGACTTTTGAGCAGACACTTTGTCTGTGGGAAGTGATGTGGGCAGACCAGGCAGCCATTCGAGCTGGGATTGCAAAGTCGGCTTGGGGGAGGATGAGGCTAAGAGCCCCTCCCACTGATGATCTGTTGCTTTACGCAATTGCAGCCGGTGTATTACAAAGGAGGAAGCTGATCATAGAGAAGTATAGCAGCATGGATGAGATCATGAGAGAGTGCAACAGCATGGCTGGACATCTGGATGTTTGGAAGCTTCTAGATGATGCTCATGATTTGGTGGTCACCTTGCATAACAAGATTGAGGAAACCCTATAATATTTATTGACTGCCTTTTCCTTGCTCTTCACTGCTTCCTTCTTTTCTTTTCTTTCCTTTTTTTTTTTTTATATGTTTTTGTTGCACCAACTGCTGATCCCTTTCGATCCCTTTTAAACTAAGGGATCTTCAGTTCACATTATTACACTCTGCTTGACACAATCATTTGATAGGCAATTCCTGTGCTGAGTAAATTATGAGAATTATATGATGTATTGCCCGCGCTCAGGACTCATTTGAGTGAAGAGGCATCACTGCAAAATTAGTGATTTAGAACCTTCAGGTTTTTGGCTTAATTATTTCTTTTCAACCCATTGCTCTTTTGTGTGCACTGTTGGCGTACTATTTCTTTTCTTTCTGTTTTCTGGGTCGAAGAGTTTCTATAAGCAACATCGTGTAGCACATTTGGCAGGTCTTAAAGTTAAAAAAGACATTTTAAATCAGAATTATTTTATTTAAACTGCAGGGAAATTCCCTCAATAGTCAATACTATTCCTTAATCTTAAGTTTGATTTATCTGATCAATAATTTTAAAATCTCGTAATAGTTGAGGGGTGTGTGTGTGTGTGCAAGTAAGCTTGGCCATTACTTTCAGGGTCCAGGTTCGTGCAAGCAGCCCAGTGTAAAATGAAAAATAAAAAAAGTTTAGAAGATGTATCAAAAAAAATCCTCAAGTAGCATAACTGATTAGTATACCAATATAGTGGTGGAGTGAGGAAGTAATTCTGGCTTTTACTTGCATATAAAGGGTCCACGTGTCCAGTAAATAAAATATTAAAACCACATTCTTTTGTTTAATTTTCAATTGTCTTCAGTTAAGCTGTACGTTTTCCACTGATAACAGATCTCTACCTCTCTCTCTTTTCCCATCGCCCTCTCTGATCTCGCTCAATGTCTAACAATCCTGACGAACCTCAATTACAAAACGGCGACGCACCAGCACCGGAACCAGCAACAACACCCGAGCCAGATGCAGATCCGAAGGTGGAGGTGACGGAAGAGACCTCGATCCACCCTCCGTCCACCGAACAAACGCCTCAAAAAGAACTGCAAAAGGACGAAGGGAGCCGAACTTTCACGATGAGAGAGTTGCTCACTGAATTGAAAAGCGAAGACGGTGCAGATAGCATCAACGAAGCCAGCGCCAGGTCTGTGTTTTCTTTGTTGATTCTCTGTTTGGGTTTGTTTATATAAAAATTCACAGTGATATTTATAGCAATGTGAATACGAAGTCGTTGGAATACTGGTATTCTTCAGTTGAATCAAGTTCGGTATAACTGTTGAGCTGTTAAAATTACGAGCTTTAAAATTTCATCGGTATAGCATTTGTCTGCCGTTTCTTTTTTCAGTAAATTGATGTTAATTTTACATGGAACATTAACTCCTGCCTAAGTCATTGCGTCAGAATTTAATTTTTCTACCCCGGTGCCTTGGATATAGTTGTAATTGATTAAAAGTATGTTGGTAGTATTATGAAATGTCATTAGTAATATTCTTCGCATTACTTTTAGTGCTTTTTAACTTTAGTGTGTATTTACATTACTAAATCTTCAGTATTTGTTCATTTTGTGACTCTAAATCGCTTCAGTCAAGGAAATACGCCGCACCAATACACGGAGCAAAACAATGCTGCAATGGAATTGATCAATAGTGTCACAGGTGTCGATGAAGAGGGTCGATCACGCCAGCGGATTCTTACATTTGCTGCTAAGAGGTACTTTGATTTTATTAGGTGGCTCTTGCTTATTGGCCTGGCTGATAATGAGTTCTGTTGAAGTTTACGCTTTTCCTTCCAATGAAACAAAATTTCAAGTCGTTTGTGTTTTTAGTATCACATTAATTTGCTGTTATAAAGTCTTGCTTTTTCGAAATTATAATGTCTGCCTTAATTTTGTAGGTATGCCAGTGCCATAGAGAGAAACCCAGAAGATTATGATGCATTATACAATTGGGCATTGGTTCTTCAGGTCAGAGATTTTCTCTGATTGGAAATATATTGAATCTTTCATTCCCTTGTTCTTCTTAAATCTCAACCATATGGCCTTTTATTTTATTTTTTATTTTTTTTATTTTTTTGTGGTTTTATCTGACTAAGGTCTCCTGCAACTTTTGTATGAATGTGGCGTTATTAAAAAGTGCTTGTAATGTGACTCTGAATTGGTTTACTCTACCAAAACACTATTTGTGGCATGAATGGGATTAAAACAGTTTTACAGGGCACTCAGAGAAAAACTATGTTAAATTTGTGAACTATTTCCTTCATTATTGTGTTCCACATTGTCTCTACGTTATGACAAACAGCATGTATGCATAATATTGCCACATGATTGTTGTTTGGCTTGCAGGAAAGTGCCGATAATGTTAGTCCAGATTCTACTTCACCCTCTAAAGATGCTTTGCTGGAGGAGGCTTGTAAAAAGTATGATGAAGCTACTCGTCTTTGCCCTACGCTTCATGATGTATGTATGAAATTTCATATCCTAGATAATATTATTGGATTTTTTAAATCAGTAATCTGAAGAGTGTGGTTCTTCAAGGATAGCAATTGCCTACAACTTAAACAAAATGGCATTGGATGTTTATATATCTCTGTTATCAATCATTCTGACTTATGAACACATGTATCCATTTAATCTGCGGTTGCTTAGAATAAGCAAACATTTTACTACAAGCTGTTCTGACTGTCTTGTTAATGAAATAATATTGGATAATAAACATTGTTTATGGTAGCTGTTAAAAGACTATTTCACATTTTTTATCGCTTGTATAGTATTTCTCTCATTGCTTATATGCCTTTATAATTGTAAGATGGTCACCCTTAAAAGTTCTACCCTTACGATATTATCTAGGGTTGTGTGTTTGCTTGTGTGTTATATATGTGTTTGTACAATATTTTGTTGATAATCATCTCTGCTGATATTGTGTTATTGTTTACCTGATAGGCTTTCTACAATTGGGCAATAGCAATTTCTGATCGAGCAAAAATGCGGGGCCGTACTAAGGAGGCTGAAGAACTGTGGAAGCAGGTTTAATCATACAATTTCTTTACTATGGTCAATCTTTTGAAAAATAAACTCGTATCTAGAATTTTGGTTGTTGCTTGTGTCACGCTGATCATATGCTGCCACATAAATGATTATGATATCTGCAATATTTTGATGTTGTGAATATAAAACCATTTTTCTTCTGTATGCATGCACCACTATGTAGAGTAGATGACCTTTATGACATTTAAGGAGTCAATGATTCTGTGCTGGAAACCAGTATTTTGTCAGTTCCCAACATACACACATGCAGGCCCAGACTGCACAAAAATTCACATATGAACATATTCTTTTACCTTGTTGATCTTTTTACTTTCCTTGATCTTTAGATTTCACTCTCCTGTTCTTTTCTCTTAAAAGAATCGCATTCAAAGTGAAGTGTTTATTTTTATGTGTTTTGCAGGCAACAAAAAACTATGAGAAAGCCGTCCAACTCAACTGGAACAGTCCCCAGGTATGTCTGAAGAAATTGTTGTGTAATTATATCATTTTTATTTTGACTCCCAGAATCATTTAAAGCTATACTTTCTTCTCTTCCTTTATGGTGTGCTTAATATGATTCTTTTTGACTCCATGTAAATTCTGTTTCAGGCTCTTAATAATTGGGGTCTTGCTTTACAGGTAGGTTTTGTGACGTCAATGTTGTTCCTAAAAGAAACTTTGTTTCACTTTGTGTTTTCTTTTGTTAATCATAATCCTTATTACTTTTTTTGGTGTGTAGTCAAGCTCGAACATTTGATTTGATTTCTTTAATTTGCATTTTTTAGGAACTCAGTGCAATTGTTCCTGCACGAGAAAAGCAAACAATTGTGAGAACGGCAATTAGTAAGGTACAAAAGTCATTTGGAGACATCAGAGTGCTTGGATGAATATTAGGAACAAGAAGCAAAGTAATTTGGCATCTGATATATCCTAGTAGCAAGCTATTCTCCTATCTTATATTCTTATGATGCCTTTCCTTGTCTTTGATTGCAGTTCCGGGCAGCAATACAATTGCAATTTGACTTCCATCGAGCAATATACAACCTTGGGACTGTCTTGGTCAGTTTGTTTTTTATCCTTCCTTATTTGAATAGCATGTTCATATTTGTTAACTTTAACTTGGCTGTTAACTATTATTGAAACACTTCATTGTTATGTTATCTTGTGCCTTTCAAGTGAGCTTTAAATCCTGATTTCGCATTGTTCCAATATGCAGTATGGATTAGCAGAGGACACATTAAGAACTGGAGCAGCAAATCCTAAAGACGTTTCCCCTAATGAGTTGTATAGTCAATCAGCCATCTACATTGCTGCCGCCCATGCTTTAAAACCAAGTTACTCAGTAAGTACCACATATTTGTGCTTCTTAATATTTTCCTTCAGATACCGTCTTAGACCAAATAGGTTTTTTTGAGATAGACTACGGGTATCTCTTTCCATTTTGTTGCCAATTTGAACTTTTATCACATACACGGCTGTTCAATATCTGTCTTATCCATGGAAACACAATCTTCAGTGGTCTATTTGGAAGGTTACTATAACTGCCATATGACCTGGTCAAGTCCAGTCTTTTTACTCTCTTTCTCTCTCGTCTTAAATTTCTTTACTGCCGGGGATGAGAGGATTCTTTAGCAACTTGAGGAACTATGAACTTATTTTTCTTTTTCTGCCCTTCTCATAATATCAATGCATAATATGTTTCTATTGTTCTTATCTTTTTCACTTCCCAATAGATAAGTTTTTATTTTCTTTTTACAGGTTTACAGCAGTGCCTTGCGGCTTGTGCGTTCCATGGTCAGTATTTTTTTTCCTTCACAGTGTTTTTCGTATTATCCCAGCCTCAAAAATGCATTTTAACTTTATGTTTATCTGTGGTGCCATATATCGTTTTGGAGACAAACAGTCATTAATTTGATCTCTAGCGTTTATTGTGATCAGGTCAATGTTTCTTTTAGGACCTTTCAGTACTAAGCTTGATCACATCCTCAGCCAAATTAAATATATTTGTGTGTTTTGCATTGTACCATAACCTTAACCTTTGAGGCTTCACTGCGAGTTTACTTCAGTGCACCTAAAAAAATTTGTGTGCAATCTTGTTGGGGTTTCATTCATTTTGTCAAGATAAAAAAAAAAAATGGGATTACTAATTTTGGGTCACGTTGGGTTCAGTCAACGCGTCTATGAATTTTAAATGAGTCATTCAGTTTAAAAGTTCTGATAGCCTTCTGTTTTCAACAGCTACCTTTACCTTATCTGAAAATTGGATATTTGACGGCACCACCTGCGGGGAGCGTAGTGGCACCTCATAGTGATTGGAAAAGATCACAGTTTGTTTTGAATCAGGAAGGGCTTCAACAGGTACATTTTGATTTGTTCACTCTATTGTGCATAGCAAGATGGTTGTTTATGTGAATACAATGTGTCCATGTTTTTTTGTCTTTGAGACAATTGGTGTGGAATTGGATGAAGACCACATAAACAAATCCATTTCTTTCCTCTTTTTATTTTTTATTTCTTTCTAAAATTTATCTTTCTGCTCGTGCAGATTAGCAAAACTGAGCAAAAGCAAGTTTCCCGAAGCCTGTCTGGCATGTCAGGAGATTTTAGTCCGGACAGAAGGACTATCAGAATTGAAGTTCCTGATATGGTTTCTGTATCAGCTTGTGCTGATCTGACTTTACCGCCTGGTGCAGGCCTCTGCATTGACACAATTCATGGACCAGTTTTCATGGTAAGTACAGTTGATTTTTTCTTCGAAACTACTATTTTGAAGACTCAATGAGATTCATGTGTGCATCCCAACTTCCTAAGCCCTAGCTTGATAAATTCTGCTTATTGATCCTTAGGTTGCTGACTCGTGGGAGTCCCTAGATGGATGGCTTGATGCGATCCGTCTAGTTTACACAATCTATGCTCGAGGTAAGGCTGATGTTCTGGCAGGTATTATATCTAGCTGATTATGTATGTTTGTTGATTGTATCACAGTGGAGACAATTTTCCCCAGGCACTTGATAATTTATTAATGAGATTTAGTTATGGAAATAAATATTTTGTATATTATAATTTTTTTGGACGGAGAATGTTGTTCAAATTTGAGTGATTATATCATGCCAGATTTTTTTATTTTTATTTTGTAGAACTGTATAATGTTGAGAAATTCTAAATATGTTGCAATTATACCGTACCTTTGTTTACAATTTTTAATGTGCAGAGCGGCACACAGGTTCAATTATTTATTTCAGGTAAATGATAATGAGTTGATTTGATATTGTGAAAAGATATGGTCTCGAATTTAGTAAACTTAAAGGAGCTGGCTGTGTTTTGGACCTCATTGTGACAGATGCATTGAGCGTTACAACCCATGGATAAAACAAAAAAGAAAACCGTAATTGCTAAAACTCTCAATTTATTTAATAAATTACGATCTAGAGGGCATCAACAATGTGCATTTTTATCTTAGTATTTCTTGTTGGATGTATTTCTGAACTTAGGATGATTGGCTACGTTTGCCCTTTGGTCATCAGGCTCCTTTAGGAATGAGGACCCGAAAATTTCATGCAGATAGGAGGATTTATTTTGGCCAAAGCAAGTATTGAGGCAGGGAGAGTCCAGAGGCCTTCCCCACAAATTAATCCTGAAGCAACAGCAGGAACCATTAACTCTGCCCTCTTGGTATCCAATTTGTGCCACGCATACACAACCAAACTCCCAACACACATATCAATTGCAAAGTATGCTCCCACCAGAAATGGCACCGCCATTACCATTGGAAGCGGCATCCATTTCCCAATCTTTTGTGGTAAAGCATCTCTCGCCACGTTCACTGCCACTGCAAAAGTAAAGAAGCCATAGCAGAGCTGTAAGCAGTGTTGGGGCAGCGCTGAGAAGCCTTGAACGCCAATAATTCCCATGTTTCTGTATATCAAGGCGTAAGGAGCTTTGAATTCTCCATGGGGATTTCCCACATCAAATGCCTTGTAGAACAGAAAGAAACTGAGAGGAGCCGTCACACACCCTATGGCTGTGCCAATTGCTTGGCTCAGAAACATTGCTCTCGGTGAGGTGAGAGTGTAATGGGCTGTTTTAAAATCTTGCATAAGAATGCAAGCAACTGAAACAACAGATTTAATGAGACCACAACCAACAAGCCCTGCCACCAATCCGTCCTCTTTTCCAGAAACTGCAGCAAGAACAAACAGTGCCACTTTCCCATAATTATACGCCATGTTTATGTCGGTGAGACCAGCGCCATAAGCATTACAGAAGGCCAGAGAAGGAGCAAGAATGTAGGCTATGACAACATAATACCACTTGAGTTGAGGGAACATAATTGGGATCACAATTGTGGATAAGACGGAGAAGATTAGGTATCCAACAACTCCTATCCACATTGGAATAGTTTCTCTCAGAAACACTTCATTCTGTTTAAGATCTTCATGGGACTTCTGCTGTTCATCATCAGCTGAAACTAGAACAAGAATTTACGTTGGTTAAGAAATTTAGAGGAAAAAAAAAAATAAATAAAACATCAGAAAATTATGATCCAAGGCTGCTGAATTGACCTGCATTGAGATTCTTCTTCTTTAATCGGCCATAAAGATTGAGGATTGTGACAATCAGTATCTTGAGGAAATTATAGAGCCCATCTCCTAGAATGAGAGCAACCGATAGAAAAACTTTGTAGCCATACAAGCTCTTCATGTCGCTTTCTTGTAAACTCACGGCGAACCAACGCCCTTTAAGCTGATTGATAAGTGGCCACATTATTCCATAAGAAAGAACAGCTCCAAGAAGCAGAGACAAGTTCACTAAATGGGAACAAATCATCCCTGCTCCCACGTAAGTCATACTGAAATCAAAATAGAATCTGCAAAACAAAATCCGGAAACAGTTTTGTTTTTAATTAATTACTTGCAGTGTTTTTCTTTCCCATATATTTATATATAGCAGGAACGGAGACATTCATACGTTTGTTTAAAGGCTTGCAGTCCAAAAGTAGGAAACTTTTTAAATCCACAATCTTCAGAACGGCTGTAAAACCACTGGAAACATCCCCACAAGAAGCTGATTGAGAAATACTTCATGAATCCACGAACTTGGTTCCTGCAACAAATTTTGTTTTTTTTTTTAATTAATTAGTTAAGAATCATTTTTCTCTGACCATAAGAAATGAGAAGGGTCATTGTCGATGTGTAGTACTTAGCCATTTTATCTCCCTGGCTATGAAACCCATTAATGAGAACTGCAGTTGCCAGGCCACTTGGATAGGTCAACTTGAGGTCCACTATCATAATCTGTAGAATTATGAAAACCCCACGAATAATTCAGCTCCTCTGTCAGGATAAATTATATAAATTTACCTAATAAATAGTTTTCCATAATGGGATAAAGTTCCCTATAAAATCCGAAGTGTGCTAGTTGACTTGCTCTGATTCATTTTTAATAATATTTAGTTGATAAAGGCACAGCAAAAAGATAGAAAATCACCATTACTGTTTCCAAATAAAGAAGTCTCCATATATAATAGTTGAAAAGTGAAAGCACTAGTGCCATATTTCATTATAGAAGTTGAGAAGAAGTAGATATATAGATAGATATACCTTCCTGAGAGGGATTAAGACAAAAAGGCCAATAAAGCAAACAACAAAAAGATAGCCAGTCATCCAACCAAATGCAGGTTCCTTGATAGCTCTTGGAGAGTTCCCTGGAGTGTTCACACCTGATAACTCATACGTCTTCTTGTTTAATCCCAAAAGATATGAAGCAAACCCACCTATGTTCAGCACAACCCACAAAAAGTAATGTTAAAAAAATGTATATAAAAAAGAATTAAAGTGAATGAATCCTTAAATAAATAAAAAAGACCACACACCTCCAACAGAAATGCTGTAACATGCAACTGCACATGTTTGTATCATAGTATTCTCTTGGCGAGTGAAGGGTCTTGATACATAGCCAGCCTTGTGAAGAACTTTTGTCCATGTTCGGATAAACACGAAGGCAAGAAGCGCAGCAGAGACGTTGAGATTAGGAACCAAACCTGTTGTGAGGTTTAGCTTCATGGCTATCACACTGTACATGATTCCAATCAAAATGCTCACAATGAGTCCCCGTATTGAGATTTGTTGTGTCCATGGTTGAAGTCTCTTTGACCCATCAGATTCCTGCTGCGTATCTTCAAAGTTCTCTCCTTCAATCTCTCTCTTTTCTTTCTCTTGTTCCGTATTCATGGCTGCTTTGATCAGCTTAATTATCTGCTGGTAAATATTACCAGATGGAGTATGAGAAAGAAAGAAAGAAAAAAAACGAACTTCATATCAAGTAAATGAAATTATAAGATTAGAATATCCATGCAAGTATTGTCTCACCTTGATTTCTGTTACTTGTGTATCTGCTTCTGATCTTTTAACTTTAAATAGATGAACTAACAATCAATGCACAGTTAGTGCACAAAACACAGCTCAGCAGAATCAACGACTCATATATGGGTTCTAGATATCATCTTCAATCCAACCACTGGCCTGATTAAATTTGTTCATTACTCATTTTATCAAAGAAAATCCCCCCTATGACCTAACCCTGTAAATATCTTGGCTATATATAATATATTTTAATTCCAGATGAATTTACTGTACTGTGTGTAGTGCAAATAAAATAAGATTTGTCCTACAAAAGAAGTTGGTATTGGTATAAAATACTTGATATGACCATATTTATAATTATAACAATCATAACCATGAACGGCCTACAAATTCAAAGTCATTGGCCTGACTAATTAATGAGCTGACCTGAATAGTTTTCAGTTATCACTGACCTCCCTCTCTTTTTTTCTCATCCATTGAGGTGGTTACGATAGTATTGTCAGTGGGCAAGATTCCCTTTCTCTTCAAGTGGACTTCTTTCTTTTCATTTTTTCTCTTTTTAAAATTTACTTTTCATCCCTTTTGGTCTGATCTTCAAGTGGCGTAAACTCAAAAACCTGTAAGCGGAGGCTGTGGGACAGTCACCTATTGAGTAGAAAATGATAGCATATGGAAACAACAAATCACATATTCAAGACTGTAATCGGCCATATAAGTCAGTGATCTCTACTTGTCAATTTACTAGGCGTGCAAGGAAAAGTCTCGTTGGTATATTTTTTACCATATATTGTAGTCAACAATATGGATTGGATAGAACTCACCTTCAAAAACCACTCAAGAGAGAGGACAGTCCAACTATATACATTATATGAGTATATTAAATTGATGACGTGAGACACATATAATTTTTAACATTTATAATACGATGCTGTAGTTATAAATAGGCACACATTCTGCTGAGAAAAGAGAAGAATATGGACTTGGGTAGAACCTGGATTGAGTAGAGCTCGCCTTCAAAAACCGGCTCAACTATGTATATATACCATATAATAGGATGCTGTATTTATTTATAGGCCCCACTAAAACACCTTTCATAAAAGTGGCCCCCTTGGTATCAAGTTCGTTCGTACACATTCTGTAGAGAAAAGAGCCCCATCAAGTTAAAATTACTCAAGCTTCAAGTATGAAAAATAATTGAAGGATGAAGATGTTTGAACCTTCAGTCATCTAGAATGCTTATAAACTAGTTATATGGAGGTGTTTGTATAGAGAAAATTAAGAAATTTTATCATTAAGAACAAATCAGATACCATTTACATGGATCAAACTCAAAATGATGGCATATTTTAAGCTGCTTAAATCTCACAAACATCTCCACGAAATGCTTTGACTAACTTTTCATTTTAATATTAATCACTTTCAACCTCCCCAACTCAACTCTTCTACTTATGAACAGATCGTTTCCTTTTTCCTGTCTTTCTTTAGATATTTTATGAAGATTTGGACGACAGCATTAATTCTTTTGTCCACCAATGTTTAACTCATTATGGGTGCTGTTCGAGGTAAAATTTGACATCAGCACCATCATTCTAACGAGTTGTCAGTCCCATCAATTAAAATTTACCAGGAGCAAAGGACAAAAATAACTTTAATTGTCAAGACCAAACTAACCCAAGAGCATATATGTCGACTCTATCCTATTTTAAGATAACAATTAAGAAATGCCTCCTATATATCATTGTAAAAACAATTGTTACATTCACCTCCAACATATAAATAAACACCTTTATTCATGAAAAAGAGGAGATTGGTGTGAAATGGTTAATGCCAAAATCACTTATCAATAAGTGTCAAAAGAGACAGACGAATCTGTCCTACAAGATTCAACCTCCCTCATCCAAATCAGACCACTGTGGATATATAAGAAACAAGTCTTATACGACAAGTATGCATACATTAATCTAATGATTGATGATAAAACATGAAACTTCATCGTCATTGAAATGAAATGTTACGAAGGAGAAAAGTAAACGAGAGACAAGACAAAACACATTGGTTGTTCCTGATCTGTCATGACATTGGAGTATATGGGTTAGCTAATAATTTTCAACCACATGCAGCAGGCCAATGTGAACTTGGAATCTGCATTGATTTAACACATTCTAATAATGAACAGGTAATTCACATAGGTTAAGAAATAGCAGACAACATGGCCCTGAGCTTAAGAATTTTTTGGCTTAAAGATTGAAATTTCGAATCCATCCAAATATTAAGTTTTAATCTTCAATTATTAACAGACAACTTGCCCAACTTTTCCAGGATTCAAAGTCTTTGGATTGGATTGTTTTTTTTTTATTGATAAAATGGCCAAGTGAAGAACTGTATCTTCTTGTATCATTTGAAACAGGCCCCATTCATGGTTATATTCTTCCACCAGAATCTGAAATTCTATCACTCTTTTTCAAGGCCAAAGCTAGCTATGAGATGTCCAAAAAAATAAGGAATGATGCAAGCTTACGTCAATAAGTGCCTATCAGAGTTCAAGAATGTTTTATGTCATTCAGAAGTTGCCACGTCATCCAACGAAAAAAAGAGTATGATTGTCATCAACTTGGCAGATTCAGGTTTTATCTATAAGTGGATGGGAGTCGTTCACCTATCCAAACCCTACACGATTTAAGGATATCTCCTATATAATTAGCTAATAGGAAGAGCGATAGAAATTGTATTATACCTGTCCATTTGCAGATTTGTAATCATTATCCTGAAATCTTCAACTATAAATAGAGAGCTCCTCCTCTCATTTTCAGGATTATGATAAAAAACTCGCATCCTGATTATAATCTTTTATTCTTAGAACATAGATAATCTGTAAAAAAAAGACTAACTTGATGTTCTCTTTGAATAATCAGTCATTTATACCTCTGTTCGCTGTTCTCTATACGCGACCTCTTGTAATCTTATATATATAAAAAAAAAAATAGACATAAAATTCGTTTTAAGCATCCGAATCACTTTAAAAATCATCTCCTATTTACTTTATTATATTTTTCATTTACCTGTAATTTATAAGTTAGTTTAACATTTTACACGACGTTAAAATCAAGCGTCAACGCTGTCAAAGAGAGATGGATGGGTGGAAAATATGCATTGTTTTTTGACGATGTTAGGCGAAACATAAGCGCCCTGTCACTTCAAAGATCTTTCACGAAAATCCTCCGTGGTTGACTGGTTGTGGTGGTAGAGCCTCCTGAGTTACAGCCATATCTTTTCATAAAGGACCACTGGCAAAAAGTTTTCTCTCTTCACCACAAAATATTAATAATTATTTATCATTTATCAGCCTGGATAATCCAAACAAGAATTCGAATAACAAAAAAGTGTAGTCGTAATTGCAGTACCCATCTCACTATTTTGAGGATAATATCACAAGCTAAATCTTTTAAAGACAAACACGGCATGAGCATTTCGATGGCGATTGGAGCTGAAACTATACGTTGTAGATTATATTCGTATATTTCTTCACGTGGCGAACTGATTCAGCTTTAATTAATAACCCTTAATGTAAAAAAAAGGCATGAAGCATCTGCATATTTTGCACTTTGGTCAAACTCTCTTGTAGGAAAAAAAAAAATAAAAAAAAAAAACTGAAACTGTAACTCTAAAAGATCAAGTCGGCTGGATAGCTTGAAAAGGGTAGTGGGCATAATGATTTTTTTGGATCAAAGAAAAGCGTGGATTGAAATTTGGTTCAAGTCCATCCAAAAAGCTTTCTTATCTTCAATAATGAACATGATAATAACAACCACATGTTTTGACTTTTGAATGACTGAGAGTTTATCTTTACATCAAAACTGAAATGATCTGGGGTTCATAAACTGTACTGAAATGTTTAGCCGAAAGCCCTTTTCACTTCAGAGATTCTCCATGACAATGGTTTATTCTATAAATTTTTTTTATTTTTTTTATTTTTTTATCCATGATCGACCGGTTTACACTTATCTTAATTAATCTTTGAAGTCCTAAAATTAACACCAAATAAACGTCAATGTAACTATCCTTATTAATAGTCTGTGTCAAACTATTTAGAGATTGCTTTTTAATTATATTTACTGTCAACACTAATAATTGATAAGTCCTGTGGTTTTTTTCCAGATAAGAATAAAGTTGGCGTTGAAATTAAACAGTCTCCATAATTTGAAGATTAGTGTGCGGATTCCTTTCATATGGAATTTTGAATGAGACCCTCAAATAATTAGCGATGGAAATCAATTTGACTTTATTCGCAATTTGACAAGGCCACTATCAGCCATCAAAACTCAAAGGCTAAAGCCCATTTATAGGACTGGGCTAACCAGAGTCAACCCAATCCAAATAAAGATCAAGCCAAGAAGGCAGGCTCCTTCCAAAATGGCCCAAAATCTGTTCACAGATATTATCTCCTCCAAGAAACTTCTAAAACGTTTCTTTTGCCCGAAAAACAAAGTAGGTTCATGCACTCATCTGTGTCCACCCATCATGAACAATGAACGGTTATCAAACGTGCAAGTCCATTAACCCCTTAGCCCTCGAAACACCGGATAATCCCTTGGCGAATTTCAACTTGCCGTTCGCAAGTTGCAACTTCAAGGAAGCCCTCACACCCGGCAAAATAAGAAAACAGTTTTGTCGTTTGTTCCACGTCATCAAAAATACCGTGTGCTAGGAACCCCTCGAATCCAACAAAACCATTGGTTGCCGCCACCACTTTTTGATCTTTCAATTCATATAAAATCTTCTCAAACTCGAAGAGAGCGATGCAAAATAACAGTAGAGCTGCAAAGATGTGCAGGTCAACAGATTTTCAGGGTTCTTACTTCAACGATCAAGATCGTCTAAAAGTTAAATCTTTCTTTGTTAGGTTATCGAATTTGCATGGGAAGGAGCAGTTACCTGAATCTCTCACTCTCGATTATCTCCCACGCATCAACGAAACCGCTCTCGAAATATCGGGTAAAAGCGTCCGACCCGATTCTCCGGCGTTCGTCACTCTCCATCGGAATGTAACTGCGAAAACGAGCAGCGGAGAGGCTATTTACGGGAGCAGAGAACGGGTTGTGGCAAGTGAGGGAGTTACATTCGAGGTTTATTTGAGAGAAGAGAAGGTCTTGAAGGGAATTTTTAGAAAAGATGATGAAGAAGAATGGAAACTAGAGTGTAAAAGCGCGCTGGAGAGGAAGATAAATTCGGTGGATCATGACGTGGCGGTGGCGGTGGCTGATGTCTGCGTGGGGCTTGAAGGAAACGTGGTGTTGATTGAGAGGGTGGAGATGGTGGTGAAGAGGAAGAGGAATGGAAGAAGGTGCGGTAAGGGGTTGGAGTTGGCGGAGATA